GCAAACTCATCAGAAGTAACCACCCAATGGAGTTCGGACCCAAGGCCTTTCACTCATAAGGAAAGCTTGTAGGCCATTCAGACACTGGCACCTTACTCGGTGGCTAGCCTATGAATTCTAACTTTTACCAATTCGTGATTTTAGCCCCACCACAAACCAATTACGTCGGAGAGTATTTAACCTCATTCCCGACAGGATGGACCCCACTGGTCACTATTTTTATAAACGTGAACTTCACTACAGTGACTGTTACTCAGTTTTGTTTTCTCAAAGCAACCATTCGCAGTCGCTTGGTAGAAAATGTGTTATAAAACGCGATGCCTCCAAATATGCCTGAATGTTTGAATAAAACTTGTTGTCTGTTAATTAAATGTTTTAAAATGTAATCAAACAAACAAAGCTACCTCAATGGTAATCAGATAGGAGAAAGTCTAATTTATTGATAAATAACTGACTAAATAATTGGCTTAAATATGTATCCTCTTTATGATAAATGGAACATGAAAGCCTGACTGTTAGTGGAATTATGGAATTATTATGGAATGCAACTTTAGGGAAATGCTTAGTTATCAGGTGAAAATATTTCGAGGTGTTGGTCAAATCTTGAATTAGATAAAACCAGTCATCTGTTTGAGTTGATTTTGTATTTCTCGTCGGGTGATTATTTTGAACTGAAATATTCCATCTCAGTTGATATGATGGCTCCCAGTAGGCATACTTCGATGTCCATAAGCATAAGCATAATGTTATTCAGTGAATGTCGAGCAGCTCGAGCAACTCAAGTGGCCTAGTGGATGAAGCTTTAACATTTGAAAAGATGGGTTCAGGATTCGAGTATCAGTGGAAACGCCACCACTAAATATGGATTGCAGGTGACGAGTCCCAGTTGGGACGAGTTAGTCATTCTATACTCCACTGCTAGCCACCAAGCACTAAATAATATCAAATGAAACTAGTATTTATAAATAATATTGTAAGCCGAGAGAATTTAATGAAACACAAATTCAGACAAGCTATGAATTTTGAGGCACAGTATACTCCAAACAGCAAGGGTTATTGCAATTCGCCTCAAAGAACCAGTGCTCTGTGTTCAAAAGGAGCAAGTCCAGCCACTACTACTACCCTGGACTTCAGTAGAGACTATAAATTCATGAATTTGTAATATTATCTTTTCTAATTTTTCTGACATTCAGCTTATTTTATGTTGATGCTATTGAACTGTAATCTATGGATATTATTGATTCGATGTTATTTAAACAGCATTAATGTCGTTCATAACACTAACTCATTCATTCACTATAACGCATACATATAATTGTAGAGCCTGATAATGAAGGGGTTATCGAAAAGAGTACTCTTTGTTCAGTATCCATTCTTTTGAAAAATTTCGTAATTATAAAATTGTCTTCTTTACTGATTAATAGCAGATTCAAGAGTTGTTAAAAGTCATCCAGTACTATACAGCAACCTTTACTCAGTTTAGAACCAAGAGACAAAGGTTTTGAACCATAGACCATCGAATTTCTATGCAGTAGCTCAATGGCAACGTGTTAGGCACGTTATGGAGGGGGTGCATTCGAATACGCACCGCTGAATACTGTCTGACTGAAATGGAACAGATAACCAGTGCTCATTAATTGATCCCAAAACAGTTCAGCTAACAGCAGCTGATTACGAGAACAATCTTAAATCCAACAAATATTTTCATTTCCTCAGAGTTACTATTCTCTAATATCTTGAATAGTAATAAATCGCATCCATCTTAGGATCTAATTATCGAATTTCTCGGTGATATACTATTTGTTTGAAATTTCTCTCAGGTATTTTTTTTAATTCTCTTAACTTTAAATAATATGATAAACACTCTATGCAAAGCCATTATTATTTAAGTCACAGTTTGATGGAGATTTGTCAAATGGAATCGCTTTCTAGAGACTGGCCAGAACTGCAAAAAGAACATTTCATTTAGTAAACTCAGTATTTGTCATGTTCTAGTCATTAGATGATTGTGATTCAAACGAAGGATAAGTTGGATAGTTTCGCACATCTATACGTATTTATGAATTTGACAGCTCCTGTAGAGACAGTTTTATGGGTGTATCACTAGACAGTTTAGCCAATACGTCAGTGAACATGTTCCATCGTGGTTTAGTAGCAGACAGATAAAACCACCATCAGCTCTGTTTCTTCTCATTTAGTTGATAGTGGTTACTCAGTGATCTATACGAAAGCAATCAGGGTGACTGATCACATTCTATGGAATCATGCTGATGAGCCCCACCCCCCATGTTTATCTACTGCAGATAGCTGAAGCAATTGAAATTTGAACTACTAGGCTTAAACTATGCGTTTAGAAGTGGGTCGTGCAGCCATTATCCCTCCCTTAGACAGTTAAAATCTAGCCTACTGATTATACTACCACTATCCACTTTATATTTTTAATCAACTTCCCAACATTTTTGTTAGCCCTTCCTTAGGCTTATAGCACCTTCATCAAAGCTGAGTTTATTTACTTCCCTTACTATCTAGTATTAAGCAATCCTACTGATCGTTTTCTACTACTGTTGGAATCACTCAAAATACCCATTGAGTCATGAAAAAAATAAAAGACAATTCAGTGAAGAAAATTTTCTTTTTGACAAAGTCATCAACTAGGCTGTACATTCGTGTATTTATATTAAATGTGTGAGAAAGTTCCAGAACTATTTCCGGTGAAAGGTCAAATTACAAATACAATGTGTAGTAATCTGGAAGGTCGGGTAGAAAAGACACAATAAGTTATAATTACTCAGAAGTGGCTTTAGAAGTGACAATAAGGGTAGTTGGGCGTCAATTGAACAAGTGTGAAAATGCACAAAAGGAACATTTGAGAGTGATAATAGTGAATTAGTTTTTCAAGTAAACTAAAACATGAAGTTGAAAGTTAATTTTAAAAAAATTGATAAGGACTGGAAATCAATAAAATTAGTACAAAAAATTTTTCTACATGGAACGACCAGTGAAGAGGTTGAGAGCATAGTAGAATAAGAGACAGAAATTTTTGTATGCTGAGATCGGGGTCATACAGATGAATTGCCGACACCCCCACCATACACAAAAGCCGAAACCTAACACCCTTTGTACCATTTGGCCTCACCTTGTAGGTGATCTTGAAAGACGACTCTGGGGGAGCTACGTGGCCTGAGTTCACCAAATGCTCGAGAATTGAGCTAGTAATTGTCTTGCATTTTCCTTTTGTTAACCATACCAGATAATGTTCAAAGATACGTTTAGAAAGTGTGCGCTTTGTGCAGGCGGCCAATATAACTAGCTCCACACGAGCAGGTGAATTTATAAACACACATTGAGGCGGCCCAAAACGGCAGTTTATTCTTCACACATCCGTTGATCATTTGTCAGCTGTAGAAACTGATCCGTAGCTCAGCCGTTGAGAAGGCTTTCCTCAGTGTTCTGCATAAGTGATTCTTCAGAATCTCAGCTGTGGTATTACCTTCAAATTCAACGTTCATAAATAGCAGTTTCTTCAGCACCGTCTGGGTTCTTTCAGGCTACTGCTTTAACTTCATCTTTTTCTCGATAAATCTTGGAGGGTATCCATTCTCAATGAGGACTTGTCTGAGTCACCCCTGTTGCCCATCGATTGTATCACTTGAACATATCCTCCTTATTCTTGAGGATAAGGAATGGATCAGATTTCTCTTTTTTCTCAAAGGGACCCAGCTATGGAAATTTGTGTACTGACCATTCCATGTTGGTTTCCTGTAGATCGATCTTTGAAGAGAACCATCAGATCTCCTTTTTAGGAAAACATCAAAAAAACGGAATTCCGACGTGAATGGCATGATGTCAGCCGTTGAACTTCTTAGTTATCAGTTCGATGTTGGTATTCTCGTCACATAATGTGAAAGTATCACCCATGTACCTTTTGTACATATAGTACCACTACCTATTTCTTCTTATTACACTTAGTAATTTTATTAATTTGACCTTTCACCAGAAATAATTCTGGAACTTTCTCACACATTTAATATTAACACACGAATGTACATCCTATTTGATGACTTTGTCGGAAATAAGGAAAATTTCTTCACTGAATTGTTTTTTATTCTCTTCATTACTACTGTCTGTCTAATTTAATTTTTGTATTTTCCGTTGATTGACTATTTCTGAGCTTACTGTTCAGTTTCTGTGAACATGTCGTCCCCTAGCACGGATGTTTCGACGATGCCTGAAGATTAATATGCAGCATTCAGGATAAACATTTCTTTCCATTTGGGACATTTGGAGCATTTTTGTCCAATATAATCAATCACCAGGAAATGAGAATTAAATCAAAACGAAAAATATTTGACACCTGTTGCACAAGAGGTGGTTCTCATGGCTCAAATGATTTAGTGGGTGAAGCTCTGACGTTTGAAAATTTCAGTACTGGGTTTGATTGCCAATGGGAACACCATAACTCATTGGGGATTGAGGGTACATCCGGATGAGGAGCCACAAGTAGGGTGAAATACACATCCTGGATTCCATTGCTAGTCACCAGGCATCAAATAATGCTCTTATCTACAATATCGATTAGAACCTTTGTTTGCATTTTCCTGACTTTTTCCCTGTCATTATTATCGAATATGACCCTTTTTACATTACTGATATTAGCAGAATTATTGTCATGACTAGTAGCACAATTTCTATGCACAATCTTATCATCCTATTGACGAATCATTACAACAGGTATGTATTTAATATTTATTCTTAAATCAATTTGTGTTAGAGTAAAGCATGATAAAATCTAACTGAAAATAATATTGTTTGCTGACATTTGTTGTTCTAATACGCCCGAAAACCAGAACTTTTAATAAATAACACATAATATGTGAAAGCAGTGGGTTGACAATAAATTATACACCAGTGAAATTTACAAGAAACAGAGAATTATTAAAGTAGTACATCTCAGACTTTTAAAAAATGAAATTAATTCAAAATAGTAAGCAGTAAATAGCTCTGTTCTCTTCACTGATATGACGGTGAACTGCAACACTAAACACTAAATGAAGACCTGACATTTCAGAGTTGTTTATTAATTCGTCTATAAATAAAGAAAAACAACACCTGAATTAAGATTTAAAGTAATTTATCTGAGACAAAATGAGTCAACAAGAAAAATATATTGACAATGCCACTATTTGAGACGCCTTTGATTTAACCGACTGTTATTGGTGTAATGGGTAGTAGTTACTGAAGGTGAAGTAAAAGCTTAAGTTACTGCAGCACTCAAAACTAACTGACAATGAAGTAGTAATCCCGTGTACCACCAGGTGACCTGCGTTACACTGACTGTGAAAGTGAAAATATGAATTCAAGTCAACAAAGTCATTATGTAACGACAGAAGATAACGGCCATACAGCAGATCCTTTGTTGAGAATATCAACAGATATTTATAGATTTTTATGTACATTATAATTAGCGACGTCTTCTGATCAGTGGTTTTCCTGCTGAAGGTTATTCTGTCATCTCTTTTTGGCCGTTCCTTAGAAAGTCAGACCATATATCTGCGAACAGTATTCACACACGTTAATTCTGCTGTGATTGGTTGTTGAGTTTCTCAAGGTTAAGCTTTGCTATAGCCTTTTTTCTGATGACCCCTATTTGGGACGTAAACATTGACGTAAATTGGTGTCTACAGTTCTCATCACAATTATAGTTCACACACATCATTCTCTGTGATCCCAATCATATAAAAGATTTTCTCCTTTACACAAGTGTTAATTAGACAATGGATTTTCATCACTGAATATTTCTTTATCTAACCAATAATTCATGAGTCAAGAGAAATAGCACAATACCAATGCTCTTCATTTCAATGAATGTGAAATAATTGGAATAAATAAAGTATGACAGTTAGTAAAATAAATCGAATCTAATATATTTACATTGAAATTTGCCTCTCAGTGCAAAAGGTTAGTCATATTTTCATAGTAAATATATCAAAAATTAGAGAATGTAAGAAAAATGTTTCATCTAACCTTCATTCATTAAGTTCTAATGAATGTAAGAAAGTGTATGTACTCTCATCATTATTTTTCTATTCCTTTACCTTCCGAGTGGAGCATAGAGCTACTTCAAGCAAGGGGCTCGAAATTTCGGCAGCAGTGGTGTTTATTTTTACAGGATGGAGTTGCTAATCTCATGCCCAACCTTCCCTCTGTACCAGTCTTATTACTGGTTTAGTGAGGTAAGAGAGTGAGTCGACCGGGGATCGAACCCCGAACCACATGAGGCGTGGATGGCAAGGATTCTAGCGCTGTGTCACCCACGAACTACACTCTCACCAGATTAGTTATCAAGTGTCAAAATAAATAGTGCTATTTGTGGGACAAATGTGCTAGGCCGAAATAGATTACAAGATATTGTAAAAAGGAAGACAATGGTGGTGATTAGTCATAATCGATTTGTACAGTGTGCCTCTAGTGGAAACCATCAATTATATCTGCGAACAGATTATAGAAAAAAAACTGTTCCCTGATATTCCTATTAGTAATCTGAAACAACTACTTGTTAAGTGCACAACAAATGTTCAGTTCTTGTTTAATAATGAAATGAACAGACAGGTTGATAGAGTGGCCATGGGATCCCCACTGGGACCTATTTTTGCAAACATATTTCTAGCAAAACTAGGAAATAGTCCTTATTGAATTGAATTTTTGATTTTCCCGTCGATTGATTGGACCGAAGTGCTCGGTCTCAATTCAATAATTAATATGACCCGTTGCACAAGAGGTGGCTCTCGTGGCCCAAGTGGTCTAGTGGATAACGCTTTGGCGTTTGAAACTATGGGCACTGGGTTCGAGCCTCGGTGGGAACATCATCACTCACTGAGAAATGCAGGTACATCCAGATGACGAGTCACAATTAGGACGAAATGCGCATCCTGGATTCCACTGCTAGCCGCCATCCACCAATTGTATAGGAAATAGTTCGTTGAAACATGAAATAGCAAAAGTGGAAATGTATTGTCGTTACATGGATGGCACTTTTTCAGTGAACGTTGAAGGGTTAAGTAGTGATCTGATTTTGAGCAACTTCAATAATGCTCACTCCGTGGTCCATTTCACCTACAAAGGAAAATTCAACGACTCCCTGCACTTCCTCGATGTCCTACTAACAAGAAGAAAGGTTGGTTCCATAAAAAAACCATATTTAGAAAGTCAGAAACCAAAGCTCAGTATACACACTTCCTTAACTTTGTACCGATAAAATACAAACGTAATCTGACTAGGTACTTTGCATTTAGAGCGAGGTCTGTTTGTTCCGAATACTGTGTAGAGAAAGAACTCCAGGTCATCCGAGACATTCTAAGCGAGAGTGGATATTTAGAGAAGTTTATTAAAGCCAACGTAGGTTACGACAGTAGTAAACATGAACTGGCAATTGTGAAGAAAAAGCCTCTGTTTTTAGGTCTACAATTCAAGGGAGATGCTTCTGCGAAGATTCCATCTCAACGTTTAACCAGGGCGATAAATAAAACTTTCTACTCTTCAAGTCTGTCTTTATCCTTCAGCAGCTGTCCAGTGTTCACCCAGCAACTCAAAAATGCCCTACCTAACCCTAGCTCTTCTTCATCCATATACCATTTCAACTGTACATGTGTTTCAAGTTATATAGCGCACACGATTAGGCAGGTTTGTCTACGGGTTCGAGAACATTTACCAGCTTGGTTCAGCGGGGGGAAATTAAGTACATAAAAAACTCGATCCTGTCACACTTGGTCGATACTGAACATAGCATCAGTGTCAACACGGCTTTAAGTGTTATATACCGAAATCCGAATTCGTTATCACTTACAGTTCGCTTACGTCTCCTACATATAGCTGAAGCTGTTGCAATAAGACCGACTAAACCGGAACTTTATATCTAAAAAGTAGACGTCCAGACGCTGTTCTCACAATGACCAAACTTGGATTGGTGATTCTTCTTCTCATTACAAGTGCTTCTTCCCCATAACCCTCTTGGTTTTTTTCTTCCTTTGTTTATTATTACAATTATTATGATTATTATTCGTCATAATTTATACCCTCTCTTCAAACATTCTCTCAATTCTATCGAGTTTTCTTCCATTTATACTATCCGGACTTATTATTAGTGAGATTATCTCTTATCTCAAGATATGCCTCCACCTGTTGCATTTCACACAGGCATTATTTCATCATGAGCCTCTGATTGCAGTCTTATTACCTCGTCTAAAATAAGTGTCTGAAAAAAAAACTTTATTACCCTATTTAATCATATTCATCCAAATATTCGAGTGACTTCCGAACTAGAATCGACTAACAAACTCGGTTTCCTGGATATTACTATGACTAGGAGAGATGATGGAACAATTCAGCGATCTATTTTTTCGTAAACAGACATGGAGTGGATAATATTTTCATTTTACCAGTTTTGTTCCTATTCAGTATAAACGTTCCCTAGTGAAATGTTTGTTCTCAAAGGCCCGAAAAATATGCACGAGTGACACATTGATGGATGTGTTTCGACATATGCACTCAGTTTCATTAGCTAATGGTTATCCGGAGAACTTTATCACTTGTCACAGTAAAGAAAGACCACATCTCGAAAAGACAGCTTCTATATCAAAGAAAGCTATCTTCATTAACCTACCATTCAAGGGCGACCAGATTATGCAGTTGACAGCTCAAAGACTTGGGTCAGCTACCTGATGCACATTCTACGCCGCATCTCTTTTTCTCACTTCCCAGATATTTCCGACTCCTCTACCTACGAGTGAAGGACAAAATTCTGTGGACTCTACTTCAAACAGTATCTACAAGGTTACCTGCAGCTGCGGTGACACCTATATAATAGGTAGAACCAACAGAATGTTCCAAAGTCGTCGAAAAGAACATGTTCCAAAATGGCTACTAAATCATATCGAAAATCCCAATGCGATTAATCTGAATAGAAATCCAGCACCATCCATTGCAAAACACTTATTAATATCAGGACACAAAATCGATATCATTGACTGTTTCACAATTACTTCACATAACTCTAATTCAAGGTTATTGAAGGTGATGGAAGCACTTTGGATTAATCACATACAAAATAAAAGACTTCAATCTTCGCCTACCACGGACAACATGACCTATCATAAGTATGTACTTTTATTTTTTATGTTATGACCTTTATTTTATTGCTGTTAACCATGTTAGTTGTAAAGTGGTTGTAAAGAAACTACGAAATGATGTCATCTCGCGAAATTTGTCTTCCTAATGCCTTACTCAAAAAATGCTTTTTAGATTCTATCGTTAAATACGAGTAGAATACAGTCAAAACCTAGATTGACATTCCTTAGTAAAGAATGCATATTACAGTAGAAGTAAACTACCATTACCCTCAAAATACAAAATATACAGATGCAAGACAAAAGTCATACTTACAAAATACATAAGTATATTATGACATGGTAATATTTGTTCTCTCATCAAGCATAGTCGGAATAGTAGTATCCATATAGTCAGACATTGACAAACTACTGTATTCTGATTCACCTTGATCGAATTCCAGATATAGAGGTAAAATTACAATAGGCTCTGTGCTATTAGAATCTGGTAAATCTGAGTAACCAAAAAAGATTACAATTAAATACAAATAGGTGAATAAAAACGTGATTAGTTTACTCTTGAAATGCAGAATGAATGCGAATACATCCAGATGATGAGTCCCAAATAGGACGAAATGCGCATTCTGGATTCCACTGCTAGTCACCATTCATAATTTATATTCCATCATATATATACACACTCAATGACTTTGGAAGTCACTTCGTATATGGAAAGACTTCAATGGTATAGTCAGTCTTATATGTATTGACAGCCACATAAACTCATGTCTGCTTGGCTGAGTGTAATGCAAGAGTATATTCCCTGAATATTCTTTTTTCCAAAACAGCTTTCTCGACCTTAATCTGAAGATATATATATATATATATATTCAGGAATTGGTTTTTGTAGGGATTTTGTTTGTTTCAGATAAGACCACGGATTGATATCAGTTGGTAGAATTTAAAATTCATGAGCCGTTGAATCGGATCCCAGTGGCTGGGTGGTATACGAGCTTGCCTTGCAACCAGGAGGTCCTGACTTCTAGCCCCAGTGGGTGCGTACTTCTGGTGAATCCCAGACTAGTAGGACGAAACGGCTGTTCAGTACTCGTTGTTGGTTTTCAATGACTCTATAACTGATATCAATCCGTGGCCTAACCTGAAACATATATATATATATATATATAAGCATAAACAATATATATATGTGTTAAACTAACGACTGAAATTGATTAAATATGTCAAAGTTCTCTATCAGACTTACTCATTTGTTGAATAAACAATCTTGATATAAACTCATGAAGGTAGTACAATTTTAATGCATTTACATCACCGCTGTTATCGTCTGCAGTTATCCAGACTGTAACATAACCAGTATTTGGAAGGAATGATATATTTTGAATTGTAAATCTCCATTGTAATAAATTTCCTTCATTTTGAAGAGTTTTTAAAATCTAAAAAATAAGTTAACAGAAAAGAAAACCAAAAGACCAATTCAATAGTAATAGAAGTTTATTGAAAACAATTTCTAATAAAAAGAATGTTGAAAATTCATAACTGTCTGAGTTTTAATATTTTTCTTTTCTATAATAGTGATTTCTCACAAAATCTTCAGTTCAGTTATACAAGAAGTTGTAGGAGAAGACAGATATCTGTTGTATGAATTACCAAAATTTATCGACATAACCAACCTTCTTAATATGAAACTCTTAGTGAAGAAGTGAAGTGTAATCCTTGAAAACTGGATTTAAAAAATGAATTAACTCTTGCTAAGGAAAACATTTTATATGTGTCAACTTTGTTGACATTAGATGCTTGGAGGCAGTCGGCCAGATGCTGTGCTTCACCTGTGCTTTGTCCTAGTTGGTATTCACCAGTAAGAAAGGCGTTTCTATCCGCAACCTTGAAGAAACTCATGCGCCTTATGAGATTCTAGCCCGCGTTACCCAGTGGTGTAATCAGAGACGTTGCCACTGAGTTATTCGGGCTCACTGGCGATTGACCTCCTGTAGGACTGTAGTGGATACTTTGACTGGACGCTATTAATTACTGTTATGTATCTAGTCTTTTTTGGTACAGACTAAGTTCTTTCTGTCAGGTTCGCAATGTAGCCACCACTCTAGGTAGGTCACCATCACAGTGCCCTTTGAATTATTGATGCTAGGTGGTTGCAGATACACTTTGCTGACGAGTGCCATCTAACACGAAACCTAGGTCAAAGGTTTCGTGCAGATTGCCTCCAACCATCTGTTATGAACAATTCACAGTGAACCGTGATGCCGAGCCACCTGGCATAATGGGCGCATTTCAAACTTGACTGAGAGAATTCAGTTTGCACCAAAGATAGGACTAAACACATTACACACTAGTTACTGACCTGTTTCCAATGAAAAATATGTCAACTAATAGTATTCTAGGTGCACAAAGTCTTTTAGGTTACGGTGAACATCAGGCTTCACAACAATTCAGTATATTTTCAATTACTAAACTTCTTAGAGGATATCAAAAGTGTTTCTGTAAAACTTTTAAAGAAATGTGAACAGCAGTTGACTAGTCATCAATATCGATTTATGCTCAACTATTACCACCCCCAAAGTGATCTGTTGTTTAGTAGAGATTGTTTAAAATGATACAGATACATTTATTTTTTGACCATTTAGCCAATGGAGACTGAATGATCACTGTATAAATGTGATCAGTTTAACTGGATACTTTTCATCTTCAAGAATTAGTTTGCAGGAATCTGATTTATTTCAAGTCCAACCGTGGACTGATATCACTTAGAGAGTCATATAAAAGCCGGGAAGTACTTGATAGCTGTTTCGTCCTAGTTTGGGACTCACCGGTAGCACACAGCGACTGGAGTTCATACTCAGCGTCTTTCACTCATAAGAAATATCGTGGATCATTCAGACACTCACACCAAACTCGGTAACCAGACCATGAATTCTAACTCCTACCAGTTCGTGATTTTAGTGGGACTATAAACCAATTTTAACCCCGGTGAGTATTTGTCCACATTCTCGACTGGATGAACCCCACTGATCGCAACTTCTCACTAGAAGTCCAGACCTGGGTGTATAGTCTAAGAGCTTGCCTTGTAAATGGAAGACTGTCGGTTCGAACTCCCGTGACTGAGTACTTCCGATGAGTCCTAAACTAGGACGAAATAGCTGTCAAATACTACCAAGTTTTAAATAGTTCTCTAACTGATACCAATCAGTGGTCAAAGTTGAAACATACAAATTCTCTACAAACAAACTCTTGAAAACTAATCTGGTGCTTTCTGGCAACTGGCTACAGGATAAAGTTGCCTGGAGTTATAGTCATCAGTAGTAACCAGTGGGGTCCATCTGGTCGGGAATGAGGTCAAATACTTTCCTACGTAACTGGTTTGTGGTAAAGCTAAAATCACGATTTGGTAGAAGTAAGAATTTTCCATTTTACTGACAAAATCCAAAAGGCTAATGTTATAGACTAGATAAGGTTGATAAAAGGTAACGAACTGAATCACAGACTTTCATGATTATATCTCTTCAGTGTCCACTTTGTTGTATGATCGCCAAAAATCCTTGAATCCGACCACGATAACTACAGATAACAATTTAAGTATACAGTGGCTTCTTATCTACGTACTTACTAAAATCAACCACTAATGTAACAATCTTGTACGATTTTTAAGTTTGCAGTTGGTAGATATATGTATAAAACTTGGGCACTGTGGTAGAGTGTAACTCCATTATGGATAAGATTTTATTTTGCTAAGTCACACAGTGTTATACAGTAATATTAACTGATGACCACCTTTCGAACACAAACTATTGCTACTCATAATCATATCAGGTCACTACTCACACATTTTTTCCTTCATTTATATACATATGTGGAATCGATTAGATATTGAGATAGTGTACATTCAGAAATAATAATATGAGTGTTATTGATCAATTACAATCAGATGGGAAATAAGACGAGTGTTTTTATAGTCAAAATAAGTAACTTGTTAGATTGTTGTGATGTGCTTGAATTGAAATAGAATTTCGAGATTATTTATTATCCTCTTCTGATTTGACTAACTGGTGGTAATAATATCTTCCATATTTGTGGTATTTACATTGAGTCATTTGCGTTGCATGTGTTGGGTGTAGACTCAATGAGCCAGAATTCAGTAATCAGTCTCTCTCTCCACCTACATAGATTACTTCTTAGAATCTTAACCCCCTCCCACCATATTGTGTGGTAATATGTTAATGCATGTAGTGCGATTGCTGAGCTTTTTTTTAAAAAATTACTTATCTTTTCGGGATCAACCATTCTTACCTTAGCTAAATTCTTATGTTCCGACAATCTGACTACTCCCGATCTAATAGTCTGACCTATGTAGCTGATCTAAAGCACAGTCATTGCAGGGTGTTTTGTAAATTATATTATTTTGTCTAATTGGGTCAACCGACAGGGCCCTTTAACGTTTAGAGCTTGTCTCTGAGTGAGTGTGTAGGTTTGAATGCCACCCTAATTCTTGCTTTATTAAAAATCCTACGTAGGGTCTCGGATGTCCCCTCTTTATATGGTATAACAGTAGATGACTTACATTCTTTCTTATTTATGTTATCATTATTAGTTTAACTATTGCATATATATACATATATATAAATGAAGGAAAAAGTTGTGTGAGTAGTGACCTGATATGATTATGAGTGGCAATAATTTGTGCTCAAAACGTGGTCATCAGTTAATATTACTGTGTAACACTGTGTGATTTATCAAAATAAAATCTTGTCTATAATGCAGTTGGTAGATCACTGAAATTTGCAATCATTATTCTATAGAGCAGTAACTTTTTAGATACTATGAAAATTGGAAGCATACCCCGACCCAGAAAAAGTAATTTCTTCGGAGAGAATATTCACTTTAAAACGATATCAAGGGAAGACTGTTTTCTTTTTCGCTCAAGTTTACTTCTAAAATTGGCTGTCATTCAAATCCATAACTGCAACTGTCAACCGACTATATCTCATAGTCAAACTTTTAAGTCTATTTTAAACATTTTGAAAAGTATTCTAAGATATTGTCAATCAGACAGCAAAAAGCCTTGTGTTGTTGGATGCCATCGACAGGGCATATTTCCAATCTTAAAGAAACTTATAGATTTTCTCAATATTTGAATTTACATTGTTTACTCATTAAGCCAAACGCTTCGGTACTGATTAGTAATTTTTTTCAATAAAAATGTCTAATACAAACACTTACAGCATTGCAGACTGCTTTAGAAATATTCTGGTAAATCTCTGAGCTGGGATCCAACAATCCTTCGTCCCATGAAAGTGATTCATTATTGACGAACATTTGAAGTGTAAACTCTAAAAAATGAATAAAATAGTTGAATTATGCTGAAGAATGTGTCCACACTGAAGAAAGACAGTACAAATGAAAAGGTATGTGATAAATGCCCTATTCTTGTCTGAGATTTTTAATCGAATAAGGATCATGGATCCAGTTATTCTATAAATCTCTCGTGGTTTCATGGAGAGATGACTATCTTGAATTCAATTGTCATGAAAGGGCAAATTTTTATCCAACTCTTTTTTAATATCCTTTTACTTTCCCAAGTACGATAGTGAAATTAACTCAAAACGTCCCAATGGCTTAATGGTCTACGAGCTCGCTGGCCTTGTCACCAGAAGATCCCAGGTCCAAGCCCCGATGGGTGCGTACTGATGAACAGTCCCAAACTAGGACAACAGAAACAGCTGTTCAGTGCTCCCAGGTTTTCCAATGCTTCTCTAACCGATGTCAGCTCATGATGAAATCCTCCAACCAATATTAAAAGAGTTTAGTAAAAGTAGGATAAAGGCAATGTGCGTACTTGTTCTACTGTTAGATTCACACATTTGAACGACTAAGCCGGTATGTGTATCATTCAGACTTCATTATCCTATTTTTAAGAGGCCTCGTCTTTAATTTGCATGATATATGATAACAAGGGATGGATCACTGCACTGCATGTGCTACTGACTAGACCTGTCAGTAATATATAAAAATATACGTTCAGCGGCACATAAACATCAAGTAGTGGAGAGATAGATTCGATATCAAAGACAGCAAATAAACCAATGTTGGAGAAGAATGCAGAAGACACGAAAAGAAGACAGAGGAAGACACTACGAAGGGCAGTAGTAGCACAACATTGGGAGATATGTATAAATGACGATCTGCAGATAAGATATCAAATTTCAAATAAATATTTCTTTACCAAGTCTCTTATCTTCTACCGCTACAACTGAAGCGCAACTAACACTTTATTATGATATCTGTAATAGCACTAATTAAAACGATATCCCAATTGAGATGTCTTGTAGTAAAGTCAGATATCTGAAATTTTAGAAATAAACTTATTTTCTCGACGACATATTTATGGTGTACCTATTACCACTGTGGTGAGTTCTGTCTGCTAGCCAAAATTGTAGATCTAAATCGGGGTCATGAGGAAAAACAACAACAAAGCCTTACCTTGAGAAACTCAACAACCAATCACAGCACACTTAGCGTGGGCGGATACGATTCGCACATATATCACACGACTGTCTAAGAAATGGCCACAAAGAGATAACAGAATAACCTTCAGCAGCAAAACAGCCAATCAGAAGATGTCGCTTCTCTGTTAACAATAACGCTAATTATAATGTACATAAAAATCTATAAATATTTGCTGATATTCTCAATAAACGATCTGTTCCTTGGCCTTGTCTTCTGTCGTTACACCGCTATATCATGGCAGTGATGGAAGGAAGTCTTATACTTTTGAGAAAACATAATGAACATCTAATCATAATTTCACTTTTTACTTCTCTTAGTTGACAACAATTTTAGTTAATGTCCCAAACTAATTCAGTCTGTAACATCAAACTCCTTTTAATCTGTCGTTTAGAACCACAATATAACCAGTGTCATTCCTAATTCAACAGATGACTGATGCCTTGAAATTTGAATCCAAAAAGACTTTTCCTCTAATAATCAATTTATCTAGAAAATCAAAACTAATTGATTCAGCAAAGAGACTGTTTTCAACAAATTTATCTACCAAGGAAGGTTTAATGTGATGAAGATTTGTTTTTGAACGCATAAAGGTGGTTTAAATTTTCTAACTGCTAGGGCTTCCACAAACTTTAGGATACTCCCCAAACACTTTTCATAGATCTAAGCCCTTCGAATATTCGAAAAATGATGTCACATCTCACTGTATTTACCATTTTGAATGTACGTGTGAACACACATACATAGGGAGGACTCATCAATCTCTGCAAGTAAGGGCTGACTTCAGAACATATTCCTAAACGGCTACAGAAACAAATGGAATCTTCAGAACCCATTAATGGTGAGAACAGGAGACCTAGCTCTTCTATTGTGAAACATATTACAGAGATAGGACAGAAAATTGACGTTAACACATCTTTTAAACCTGTCTATAAAATGTGTTTGGGCCGTATCCTAAAGTTTGTGGAAGCCCTAACAATTAGAAAGTTTAAGCCACCTTTATGAGTTCAAAAACAATTCTTCATCACACTAAACCTTCATTGGTAAATTTTGTTTTGATACCATAGCAGATGTACTATTACCTCTGCTATTTGCTTAAGTGGTCTTCATTGTTATTTTCACCTTGAATATGTCCTTTTAACTTGACCTAAGTGTATTTTCGCACCTCTTAACTCATTATTAATTTCATATATATTCCTGTGACAAGTCCGTGTGTGAACAAATCTGTCATCAAGCTGTACAGTCGTATATATATACACGTATGGTTTCTTTCAAGAAATTATATCCGGTGAGGTAATTGAATCATAGGTGTGAGTGCATTAAATAATAATAATAGTATGAAACGCAATTAAAACTAAAATATTTGTGATTATAATCATAGTTAAATATCAAGTGGCAAAGCAAATTAATGTTATATATAGAATAATTCATAAGATGGATAGAACTTGGAAGGGGGGGTGCAATTATAGCATTAGTAGACAAAAATCGAATAAAATAAAAACGTTACGTAATATTGTGTGAAATTTCATAACATAGAATTCTAAAGAATTGATTTAGAATGACAAGTGGAACAAGTGAAATAATACCGGGGACAGTTCAAAGTGAGAGTAATAATGGTAACAATTGACGTAATAAAGGAGGAGTATACAAGGTAGAGCCAAAATATGATTGGGGATTATCATATTTTAGCATAGAGGGATTAAGGCCATGAAAGTTGGAGGGGTTGAACGAACTTTTTCTGTATGCAGAGATCTATCTCTTCTGTCCCTATGGCCAAAGCTTCAGCAATACAAATGAGTCTACTACGCAGTGATTTGGGCAAATTACTTTCCGCTTTGTACATGACTTTAAAGGTCGAGTCTGGAGAGACACAGTAATCATTAACGACTAGATGTTTAGTGATCACGCTTCTTATTGCCCAATTCCACCTCTTCGTAGCCATCCAGGATAGTGTTCTTGCACCCCTTTGGAGAAAACTCAAGTCGAACGACCGATATACCTAGCTCCACATGAGCAGGTGAATTGATAAACGCATACGGAGTTGGTCAGCTACGGGATCTTTTCCTTCAGGTCACTGAACAGTAATGATCGACTGGTTAACGCTACTCGCAACGATGTAGAAGAGAATGTTCTTTGCAGGGACTGTGAGATCCTTCCTTTAATGATATACATGACATTAATTGTTTTGCCACATTCACACTTCATTTAATCACTGTTATGTACTGGTCGAGAATTTAATAGTCCTGACGCAAGAAAGACGGAAATCAGAAGACCACTAGGTTTGCGATGATACTTCTATTTTCCAAAACACAAGGAGAATCAAAATGTCACACAAGAGTGTGAGAGCAAAATATAAAATGTCCGAACAAGTGTGTGAACGAATATTCGAAATGAACAAATCAATAGACAGTCTTAACATGATTGGCTAATTATAATGGAATATCGATCCATATATACATAGCAAAATATATCAGACTGTCAAACAAACACACATATTATATGGATATATATCAATCACACATATTTTAATTGCATTTCATACTATTATTATTATTCAACGCATTCACACCTATGATTCAATTGCCTCACCGGATATAATTTCTTGAGAGAAATGATATATATATATATATATATATATATATATATATATATATATATATGTACGACTGTACAGCTTGATGGTAAATTTGTTGAAGGCAATCTCTTCGCTGAATCACTAGTTTTGATCTTCTATATGTCCCATTTGGAATTTTCCATGAAAAAATTTATAGTTCAGGAATGTCTCTGACTAATTCAACAAACTTTTCAGTTGCATATACAGCCTCGCCAATCTATCTACTGACCAATCACAAGCAGCCTTAGTCTTACAAATATTCATTCCACTAAACTACTAAATGCTTTTCTATTGCTATCCCCATCTTTCAAGTAATTTATTCAACAAATGACCAATTGTGGATCACCGTGACACAGAAATACTCCTGTTTAGTGAGTTGCCATACCCTTACGCCACCCTTCGGCGACTCTTATGATAGAATAAGTCTATAACACAAGGGTTTAACGCGTGGCGTTAAATGGCAACTATTTAACTACTAGTTTATTTATTCATGTATACTACAAATGACTGATTTTGTAGTCATCATAAGGAAAAATACGAACACAAAGTAATATCTATAAGAGGTGCTGCCAATATATTCTTGTGATTTCACTCATTTTATCACCGCAATCGTGTACTTTAATATCTGTATTAGATGTAATCTGTTGAAGATAAATAAAGGCCGACTAGTTAATTATGCCTGTTTCCTTTCACAATTTACGTGTTTTGTTTTACTGCTTAACAACCTTTCACTGGCGTCGGTGGCATACCGGTTAGGACGCTCGCCGACCATGCACATGGTCCGGGGTTCGATCCCCGGGCACCGACGCACTCCTTTACCTCGTTGAGCCAGAAATAATGCTAGTAAAGAGGAAAGGATGGGCATGAGGCTAGCAACCCCATCCTGTAAAAATAAACACTGCTACAGAAACTTCAAGCCAATAGCTTGATGCCCTATGTTCAACTGGGGAACGTGAAGGAAAAAAATTTTAAATCTTTCATTGAAATATATATATATATATATATATATATATATATATATATATGCAGAATAGCAATCCTAAGATACCGTTTTCTATATTTATTTATTTATTCAAGTTAGTATCACTACAACACTGGAGATGCTTCGAAAACTGGTTTCTTCGCTGCCCTTGAATCATTATTCAAATCATCAAACTAGAAAAAGGAAACACAGGAATACATACGCCAAACAATTGTACCAATCATCAAACAGAAAAAACAACACACACAACTCAACTTTCAAGAACTAAAACCCCTCAAAAAGCTGAAAAATAGGAAGGGCATCGTCATTCTACCAGCTGACAAAGGAAGAACAACAGTAGTCATGGACAGAGAAGAATACACCAAGAAAGCTGAAGAACTACTCAACGAGGATTTATATCAACAACTCCCAACAAATCCCATACAAACATTGGACAACCACATCCAAAGGACCTTTAACAAGCTCACCAAAACTGGACAGATCACAAAACGAGACCAGTGGTGAATGAAATCCGGTGGACCAGTCCTACCTCGATTCTACGGCAGACCCAAAATACACAAGCCAAACATCCCATTACGACCAATTGTATCACCCCCAGGAAATCCAACATATAGCTTATCCAAAGAATTATACAGAAAACTAAAACACCCGACGGAATCTTGTTATCACTCCATCAACTCTGCTATCCAATTCCTAGAGAAAATCAGGGGCATCCAAATAGATGAACAAGAGCTAATGATATCCTTTGACGTGACAGCATTATATACCTCTATCGGACAAAAACTAGCAAAAGAAACCATGAAGCAATTACTTAGCAACGACGAACACCTTCCATAACAATCAAAAATGCAACACACAAACTGGATGGAATACATAAACCTATGCCTAACAACATACTTCCGATTTAACGGCCAAATATATGAACATGTCAAAGGAACACCCATGGGATCACCAATTTATTTATTTTATTTATTTCTGATTACAGCTTGATTCCACACTGTATTTTTGGTACAAGTATGGAATTTTCAGCGTGGTAGCCCAAATTTCGCAGGCCGACCATAGATATCAGGTGTGCGCCAGTGTGGGCTCGAACCCCGGACCATGTGCATGGTCGGCGAGAGTCCTAACCACTGTGCCACCGCACAGGTTTGATTGCAGAAGCAGTGATGCAAAGACTCGAAAACATAATTCTACCAAAGATCAAACCCAAGATTTGGATACGCTATGTAGACGACACATTTGTAATCATCAAAAGGAACGAATTAGATAAAACTCACAACTTAATAAACAACGTCTTCAACGACATCAAATTCACAAGAAAAGAGGAATCCGACAACAAAATCCCATATGTGGACGTCTTAGTCAAGCGAACAAACACAAGGGAATTAGAAACTAAAGATTACAGAAAATCAGCTCACACAGACCAAATCCTGAATTACAACAGCAATAATCCAATAACACACAAAAGGAATTTCATACAAACACTATTCAAGAGGGCAAGGACTCATTGCAGCACTCCCACCTTAAGGAAAATTGAATAAAAATACCTCATGGACATCTTCCAAAAGAATGGATATCCACGAAATTTCATCAAAAGACATATACCAAGCCAACCTGTCAAACCAAAAGCCCCCAAGGAAAGCACAAAGAAAATCGCCCAACCATATATAAAAGACATGTCAGAAATCACTGCAAGACTCGTCAAACTTTTAGGAATTGACGTCGCACACAAACTAACAAAGTCACTTCACTCAATTCTATGTCAACCAAAAGACTCAACAGCTAAAGAAGACAAAACCAACATCAACAACGAATAAATTGTAATAACTGCGAAAAACACTACATTAGTCAAAGTGGACGTCCTCTTCGTCTTCGAATCCACGAACATAAGCTAGCCGTCAAAAGACATGATTTCCACTCCATCACTCATATCACTACTACATACAGACAACCGCGGACATCAACTCGACTGGGATAACGTTCAAATATTAGACAGAGGAAACAGCAAGAATGCTAGAGAATTTTTAGAAGCCTGTCTAGTATTCCAGTGAATCATCATTCAATAGACGCATTGAGATAGACAAAATTTATCAACCGATAAGAAAGAAACCTCACACAAAAAGGGTCAAAGTTCAAGTCAAAGTAACTATCATTTCTAATACAAGTAGCCTAGAAGGTGTGAAAACACACAAAAACAACCAACGACGTCCAAGGTCACCAGGAGAGATGATTAATAAACTCGTGGAGAAATCTAAGAGCTCACTTCAAATTGAAGTATGCGAGTAAAGATGTCGCTTAGTAGGACTATGAAAGCATCACAAATTAGCTATCCAGCTCAGAGAACACAATCCCATCGAAATCCTCCAGCTGAGCGAAAAATCTTCTCTATCATATTTAGTATCACTACTTACCACAGTAGTATCATCGCTAAACACTGTAAACTAAACTATATGATACTATGTCTTTTCATTTATTTTATTTTCAATTCATTCAGGTCCCTACATTTATTCCTTATCTTTACTCATGAAGTTATTCATTCAGTATACAGTTTATATTAAACCTGGATGCAATAGATGAGTCTTGTGATATTCGAATACACGTGACTCAGTGGTACAATCAGGTGCAGTAATAACGAACTGTTTAGGCTACGGTTAACCTCCTGTAAGAGTGGTCACATAACATTATTTTCTGGTAGATATTATAAACGACTGGTTTCAATTATTTGCTTTATAATATATACTGATTGAAAAGGTGAAATTGAGGGTCTCATGTTATTTATTAGTTTTCATGGAGTGAGACGACACACTTTTGATCATGAGTTTTAATCGACAGTATGTGTAGATGTGTTAATTGATGCAGGAGTGAAAAGTGTGGAATGTGGTAGCGTGTGGTGTTCTGTTTTAGTTTGTTTATTTAGTGTGAAACAGAGGGATGCCCTAATGAGGATGGCGGTTATGCTCTTTCTTTTCAGTGATTAAACAGTAAATTCATACTAATTCCAGTATATATATTCATTATCAGTATCCAATAAATAATACTTTATCCTTGGTGTTTGACCACATTACCAACCTGACTGGGATAATTTAATCGACACTAAAGTCTTGACAACATAATGTTGGTTCATGTCTGCTGAAGAATCAATTTATTTTCACTTTCCCTTGTAAGCACCTCAGTGTAAAGTTGATGACCCAATCTCATTAGACAAAACGAATGAGATGACTAGTGATTCTGTTTATTTTAGGGAGGATTTAATCATGAGCTGACATCAGTTAGAGAACCACTGGAAAACCTGGGAGTACTGGACAGCTGTTTCGTCCTAGTTCGGGACTCCTCGGGAGTATGAACCCACAAGGGTTCGAACCCAGGACCTTCTAGTTACAAGGCGAGCTCGTAGACCATTGAGCCACTGGGACCCGATCCAATGGTTCTTGAATTCTAACTTCTGCCAATTCTGTTCATTGTTATTTGTTAAGTTGCCCAATTCTAATTTCAACAATTGATAGTCACTTCAAAGATCCTAATTCCACACTGATTTTATGGCATGAGTAACTAATTACTTTCTTAAATGAATTTCAATATTATCCATTTGTAACTTATACACCAATCGGTGTCCTTATAATCTAGAGTTAATTTTCATCCAGAAGTTAATTCTCCTTGTTTTCATGGTTATAAGTCCAAGGATTATAGCACTGTTTGTCGAAAAAACACTTCGTAATATTTCAGATTGATGCATAGCTATTTATCTAGTTCGTCTCAGTTTGATAATCCCTGATACATACTTTGGCGGTGAACTCAAATAAAATAAGAATACTCATGAGTAATGACATTCATCCCTCTGTATAGACAATTGTAGATGTCGTAAAGTTTATGATCATAAATTTTGAAGCTATACTGGTATTTCCCATGAAAAGTACTCACCCGAATGTATATTACTTACAAAATATTGGTTTCTATCCGGGAATAATTGTACTACTGGAGGTTTTATTGGAAGTAATGAAATTTATTCGTTTGATCAGATCATATTTATTATTTATTACTCCTAAACCTATTTTTGTTAAGGATAGACTAACTACTTTTATCATTTAAGTAGGTAGGTGAGTTTGTTGAAAAAACTGTCGCAGTTATTCTTACCTGTCAAGATTAAGCTAATTTAAGAAACATAATGAATAGAAAGTTTGTAATATAAAAATAGTATTATAAATTTTAAGTTACATATTAATTTGTTTAAAATTATGCTAAATAAAATCATCACTACTTCATGATCTACTTTGAGCTGTTTTATCAAGAAACTTACCGAGAGCTGTGATAAGGACGAAATGCATTTAAGTGCAGGTGATCATTCCATTTGTGCATACAGTAAAATATCATCCCAAATGAATACATTTATTGAAAAAAAGAAGTAGAACAGTAAACATTAAATTTTTAATGCTAACTAAACAATAATGAATAATATGAAGGCTTTTACCAGAAAGTAAATCACAACAAAGATACCTTTTACTTCTTAAAAATATGTCAAGTCTTAACTGAAAATACCTATTCTGGACATCTGGCCGTAAAATTCAATCAAAATCAAATGAACCACATGCACTTTACGATCGATAGGAGTGGCCACTCTAACAACATCTGCTAAAGTTAAGCAATTTTCTGACCATTGATGTGTATGTGATAATGGTTTCTTCTACTCTTTGAATTCCGAGGGGAGCATATGGTTACAAGTTTTTGAAGACTCAATAGCAGTAATGTACTTTTTTATGTCGTGTGGGTCTGCTAGCCTCACGCCGAACCTTTCGGTCTTTTCCGGATTATTACCAGTTAGGCGAGGTATAGCAGTGCATGAACCAGAGATCGAACGCAGACCTCCTTCATGGCTGACAAGCATTCCAATCACAGTGATAGAGGTGATAATGATACATAAAGGTCTTTCATTGTAGTGGATGACTTCTTGGTGCGGACTAGGTTTGTCTTTCACCTTGACACTACTGTAAATGTTATTTAAAATGTACAGTGTTAAAGAACTGATCGTATTCACTTTTTAAAAAACCCACTTTGAATCACAGTAGAGTCAAGGATTAATTCACATTCAAATGAAACTATAAACATGCTATGACTTCTATTTAAACATTCCATGAAATTGAAGCAACAGGAACTTGTTGTTTAAAGTCTTATAAGTTAATGGCAACTGTTAGACTAGTGCTGGTCTCTTTTATAGAAAAATATGTATGAATTTTTATTTATGCAAAAACTTTCACAAACTTCATTCAAACGCTATAATAGGTGATTTTTATGGATGAAAATCCAACAAGGAAACTTTTTCATTTCTCATGTGTGAGCACCAATGATATTTCTGATACCAATAAGGTAAATTAAGGGTTCAGAATATTCTAATCATTAACCGTTATTTTAAACTTGACTCAATAGGTGAGGTGTTCAGGAAAGTATTTCAGCAGACTGACTTCACAGGATTTTCATCGTATCGTGATGACAGCAATAGTAATAATCACTTTCAAGCATTTCTGTACTGGAACTCCTTTCACAAATAAAATCAAAAGAAATAACCACAAAATCTGCAGTTTATGCTGAATAATTCAGGGACAGTCATTTATGGTTGAACAGCTCATCGCTAGTTGCCATCCACCATGATATTTTCCCTTACTTTTAATGGTAAGAAGAAAAGCGATGGGTTGGAATGTTTATCTGAGTAAGGTAGTGAAGATAATAATACGATTTGACAGCATCTTTGACTGATTAAAACAAAAGTAAAAAGAAAATGTTATTTAGGTAGCCCAACTTTCAAACGGGCCTCCAGTTAACTTGGTCTAGGTGCCAATGAAAATGTAAATCTTTCAACCTCATTAAACACTTGATTCGAATACCACCTGGCCAACTTATTATTATCATTCCCTTGGGTTACAAGTGGAACACAAGACTTCACCAACACGTCTCCACTTTCTTCTATTTTCCACCTTCCTCTCCAACTGGGACCACGACTGACCATAATCTCTCATCTCCTCCCCATCACCACATGATCACCCTCCTCCACGTCACCCTCCCACCAACGACCAACTGTTGCTCCCCGTTTGGATTTTACTCGAGCAATGGCCTGCATTGCTCCGGGATGTCCTTCGACAGCCCGATCCATCCATATCCACTTTCTCCTAAATTTTTGTTGAACAATCGGCTCTTGCTTGGTTGATTTGTTTCCAGTCAGAATTTCTTGTTGCTAATTCTTTCTGGATGGCCAGCCAGCCACTTGATGTTCAGTATGGAGCCAGCCACCAAAGGGGCAGCTGTTGATAAAAGTCTGCAACAGACTATTGGAAATCCTTTTCGTTACACACAGTGCAAATTTCTAACCTGTATAGAAGGACCGATTTAACACTGGTGTTGAAAATCGTAATCTTATTGTTTATCCTGAGTCGGACTGCATCAACAGATTTTCAAACTGGTTTCGGGTTGATGAAGGCGTATCTTGCCTTTCGATACTTTCTGACTGACTCTGACATCTTCATCTGTTCCGACTGTCTGTGGTTGAAAAAATGCTTGCTGTCTAGATAAGTGAAGGAGGTAACCTCTGTTAAATCTCCCCCCATTGATGTTGACTGGTGCTGGTTGTTGTTGTTGCTGTTACTGTTGGTTGATCGGTTGGTTATCTGCATCACCTCCGTCTTCTCTATGTTCATCTGCAGTCTTATGTCCTCTCCTGTTTCAGCTATGGATAACTTAGTGAAACATAAACTCAAATCCCTAAATCAACACTTTATATATTTTTCATTAAAATATGAATTTCTGAAAGTCTTTCATTACTGATTAACTGAAAACATCCTCCATAGGCGTTAGAGTCGAAAACACTGAAGGATCTGATTCTAATAGCTTCTTCTTTTTTTCCCTTTGTTCGTAAATTAACACAAAGAAAAAAGTGATGAATACTTGCCAACTGCCAAAAGAACTCACGTGATAATGAACTGTTATTATTGGTATCAGGTGAGGTTGCGTTATTTTGTGGAATTTCAACTGTGACCTGAGAGGAGTTCGTAACTTCATTGCCTGTACATTCAAGAGAGTGAAACAAATAAAATATTTTTAACATCATCTTACCGATTCTCTTTCAGAATTTGAACATACATACACAAACATACTGCAATCTATTCTCATATACATATATATACAACTCCTCGCTAATTGGCTGACTAGTGATTTAAATTTTACAGTTGGTTGGAGATTTATTTCTTGATATTTACTACATGAGATACCATCGCACTTTTAAGGTATTACAATAGAAATTCCAAGAATCTACTCAGCACTTCTGTTATCTTGATATTCCGTTGAAGTTAGTAAATGATCTGTAAATATGGTAGGCACTTTTCACCGTCTAAGTGTAAAGTACTGCTACAAGATTGGCTGGTGGAGGGATGACGGATGAGATTTCCAACCGTATAATGAAGACTAGGGTGGCATACATCAACTTGAGCCACGTATGGCGCCAACGCGACGTTAGCCTGGCTGTCAAAGGTCGGGTATACAATGCTTCAGTGAGGGAGGGCTATCTTGCTCTACGCCTGTGAAACCTGGCCTCTCCGAGTAGGCTGAGGATGTGCAGCCACTCTGCGTGTTCGATCATCACTGTGTCCGCAGGATTGCTTGCGTTCGATGACATCATCGCGTAAGTAATTCTGAGGTTCGGCGACGTGTGTTTGAACACATTGGAGTTCACCATTCATTGAGTGTCGTCATCTGGAAACACCGGCCCCGGTGGCTTGAACACGTGCTGCGAATGTCATTCCAGAGGCTTCCGTACAGGTCTCTGTTCGCTAGCCAGTCCTGGGACGGGATGGAAAAGGCGGAGAGGTGGTCAGTCCATGACGTGGCGTCGTGGGATGAAGGACGTTTGTGCTAGATTAGCACCGGTTGGTGTGTCACGACTCCCTGGTCGGGGTCCGCGAGATAGCTCGAATCAATGGCTCGAAACGTTATCGGATATGGCCAAGAATCGTAATCAATGACGAACGTGTTGCAATTTCCTTCCTTCTTCCCTTCGCGATGATAGTTAACGAATACTGTTTGAAATTGTTAAGTATGACTGTTTTCCTTCTAGATGAAGTTCTTTATCCGTTCTCTACTTATATTTTTTCACTTTTGATCTATGTTGTTTTATTATTATTGTGTGGCGCATCCTTCTTGGTGCCATATTGTACCAGGTTTTTTCTGCGTTTAAATAAATAGATAAAATAGTAAATAGTCACTAAACAAGTTCACTACGTCGATTTCGGCATGATTAGCTAAACCTAATATTTGGTTAGGTGAAAATCGATTGAGATTTAATGCTGATACCGCATGCATCGTAGTATCTTATACCTTTTTAAAAGTTTTCTTATATCAGCCTTACAAGCCCAAGGCAACCAAAATAATGTTGCCTAAGATTCAAACGCTTTATTACCAAACTTAAAGGTACCACAGGACTATCTTAAAAACACGTAAAGTAGTGAATTCTCATAGTCGTCAAAATCAAAGATATTATTATCTAGGCAAAACCATAATATCTTTGGTCATAACATCTTTGTTCACAAATTTACCTCTAGTAGAAAGAGTTAACCACATATGTGAACAAGTGGATAACCAGTCGATAAATATTGGTATCTGTACTGAAACCCTAAAAGAAATGTTATTAAGGTGTATCACGAAAGTAAATTTCAAATTTGACGGCACATTTTACATGAAAGTGGACGCGGTGGCGATGCACTCTCCATCGGGTCCCCTTTTAGCTCATTTTATTATTATTATTATTTTTATTATTATTATTGTATCCTTTAATTCTTAGAGGAACATAGGTCTTCAGCTGCGCATCTCCATTGCCTTCTGTTTTCTGCCAACCTTTTCACCCCGCTCCAAGTCAGCCCACATGCTTTCATCTCCTCTTCAAACGACCTCCTCCGAGTCACCCTTGGACGACCAACTCGCCACTTCCCTTTCGGGTTCCACTCGACCGATGGCTTGTCTAGTGATGTCACTTAATGGTTTCCTCAGCGTATGGCCAATCCAATCTACCTCCATTTCTTCCTGCATATCTGTTTCACAATCGGTTCCTGGTGTGTTGGTTCGCTCATTTCCAGAGATCCCTGTTGCTGATCTTTTCTGGCCCGCCATCTGATCTTGAGTGGTATTGAGCGAAGACAACTGTTAATAAAGGTCTGAAGTTTGTTTGAGATGCTCTTTATGGCGCGCTGGCCAAGTCTCTGATCCGTATGGTAGCAATGACTTCACAATGGAGTTGAAAATCCGGATGTTATTTTTGATGCTGAGTGCTGTTGACCTCCACACAGACTTTACGTGAGTAATGAAAGCTTGCCTTGTTCTCCCAATCCTCGCTGCTTTGATATTCGTGTCAGTTCCGTCCACCTGTAGTTGAAACGATGCTTTCCAGGTAGGTAGGCAAAGGAGGTTGCTTCTTTCAGATTCAGCTTCTCCCATTTATGCTGATTGTTGTCTGTTATTGTCGTTACTGTTGCTGTTGGCCACCTCTGTTTTCTTTATGTTCACCTGAAGTCCTATCTTTGATGCTTCTTCTGCCAGCTTGTTGCTTTTCACCTGCATATCTTCCAGTTTGTGGGAAATCAGACACACATCATCGGCGAAGTTCAGATCCCCCAAGTTTTTTGTGTGAGTCCATTTTATGCCCGTTCCCTCGTTGGTTGCCGTTGTCTGTCGCATTATCCAATCAACTGCAATCAGGAAGATCATTGGTGATAGTGGACAGCCTTGCCTCACTCCCGTCATCACTTCAAAGGCTTCCGTAAGTTTCCCGTTGTGGATTATTTGGCATGCAGCATTGTCGTATAACTGTTGAATGAGATGTATAATTGTCGATGGGACCCCGTAGTAGCGAAGTAGCTGCCAAGTCACCTGTCGATCGATGCTGCGCTGTCAAAGGCCTTTTCAAAGTCGATGAAGTTGAGATAGAGAGGTGACTGCCATTCCAAGCTCTGTTCAATGATGATCCGTATTGTGGCGATTTGATCAATACATGACTTGTTTCTTCTGAATCCAGCTTGTTCCGGTTGGAGTTTTTCATCTATGGCTTTTTTGATTCTCTCCAGGATGATGCGGCTTAGTACTTTGCGTTGTTTGTGGGTGCATAACATTGTATAATTGACACTTTCCTCCCTTTGGAGTTGAATCTGGCGATCATTATCCTGGACGAGATCGCCCATTTCTTTCTAAGTAAGCTAGAAAATGGACGTTTTAACAATCTTATCAGAAATTTCTCATTTTATTGCCGGTATATCGACGACAGCTTCATTCTTTGTGATAATTATTCGGATAGGAGTACAATAATAACTGAATTCAGTCAAGTACATTCGGCTATGAATTTCACGTGCGAAGAGGAATCCCGAAACAGGTGTCCTCCTTACAAGAAAACCCGACAGTAGCATAAAAAGAAATTTGCACAGATAAAGTACATGGAGAAGACAATATACACATCTTCACAGCATCGTTTCTCTTCAGTAGAAAAGAAATTTAGTAATGACCCTCAGCCACAGAGTTAGAGCTATACACTCAGAATAAGTAATTGAAGACGAATTAAGCATTGTATATGGTACCTTGATTGAAAGTAGCTATCCCGACTAATTCATCAGGAAACATATATGGCATACATGGCTATTCACTACCCGTGAACAAGAAGCCTTTGTACATACGACCACAATTCAAGGACGATACACCAAGCGAAATAATTACAAAGAAATTTAGAAAATCAGTTCAAAGAAGTTTTAATTCTGGCGAACTAAACGTTATATACTCTACACTTCAGATGGCGATTCCTCAACTGGAAGATGAAGTACATAACCTAGCCACTTACACTTGTATCTACCAATTCAGCTGAGCTTGTGGAGCAAGTTATATTGGCCGTTGCTCTAGGAACTTAATTTTTCATGCTCGCTAGGGAGCATCTACCAGTATGGCTAAGTAAAAGTGTAGTATAAACCACCAACAGTTCCATATGAGACCATCTGGTTCAAACAGACCACAAAGCAAGCCGGCATTGAAGAATCTTTCTCTATCATCTACCGGGTGCCAAATAAATTGTCGAAAACATCGAAGTATCGCATGTCCCAAACAGCAGAGGCTATCACAATTCGCGTGAAACAACTAGTGCTTTGTATGCAAAAGAAGCAAGTTCAGCCACTACTACTACTACCCCTGCCACCGGCCTTCAGTAGAGGCTATAAATTCATGAATTTGTATTGTTATCTTTTCTAATCTACCTTTTTGCTATTCAATGTGTCTTATTATGTGGATGCTATCGATCTGATATCATCATTGATATCAATATTGATTCAATGTTATTTAAACAGCATTAATGTTGTTCATAACACTAGTTCATTCATTCGCTATAATGTATATATGACTGTACAGCCTAATGATGAAGTTATCGAAAACAGTCCTCTTTGTTCAGTAACCATTCTTTGGAAAATCACATTGGATAAATTCCTTCTTCTAAATAAATCTTAATATTGTCTGCCTCATTTACACCTTCATTTACTTTACAAAGATAATACATTTAATCATGTCAATAGACTATTGGACATGTTAGTTTTAGGGACATACATATAAGCTGTCATCTTCACAATCTGTTCATATCAGTGAAATACAACTTGAAAAACAAAATCACCAAATCACCTGGTAGACTATTCATTTCAATTTGAAATTCAAAACTCATTGGTTGTGAAGTATTCATTAAAATATCTTGAAGATTATGTAATCCATTTATAAGCATCTGAATCATATCAACATGTGAAAATTCAGCATTTATAGATGCCTTAAAACTGAACAAAGCTTCAGATATGATAGAGCCTTTCTTGAATTGTAAAAATGTGCACATAGGATGCTTTAATTCACTGACATTGGACATTTGAAATATATTTGTAAGCTGATTTAAATCAATAAGACATATATATGTATATATAAAGAGAATTTTAACTCAAATAGAATACACTAGTAATGAAAATATGTAAAGTTTTAATTAAATAAGTTATTATTTTATTATGAACGAAACTTATTATTTTTGAAAATTAGCGGCCTGTTTAAAACTTGCGCTACCGAAAACTCCCATCTCTCTATTGCATATATTTTTTTCTCTCGTTTGGTTTGTTTTAATCTACTAAGATATGACCTCTATTATTGGTATTATCTGCTATTGTTTATATTTAAAATGTTTACAAGCTGCTGATTCGCAAGTTCCTACTAAACTTCAGGAATGGTTTGATTGTGGGTGGAAACGTGTTCAAATACAACATGAGATGACTGTTCTTCAGTTATGTCCTTTGGTCTCAAAATGTACTTCTGAATATCTTATGATTGGCTTTCAACTAGATTTCGAGGATTCCTAAAGGAGACAAAGCAGATATATCATAATGGAATGGTTTGTGCTTCAGTTCAGAGACCATTGTGTCACAGGATATACTGCCAAACTATATTTTACTTGAAGATATTGTACGAAGGGAAAATATCATATAATATACTTCTCTGAAAATTCTACACATTTTATAAATACTGTCCAGACGAAAGATAAAAGACAGATTCATGGAGGATTTAATCATGAGCTGACATCAGTTAGAGAACCACTGGAAAACCTGGGAGTACTGGACAGCCGTTTCGTCCTAGTTTGGGACTCCTCAGCAGTACGCACCCACCGGGATTCGAACCCAGGACCTTCTGGTTACAAGGCGAGCTCGTAGACCATTGAGCCACTGGGACCCGATCCAATGGTCCTTGAATTCTAACTTCTGCCAGTTCACGACATAGCGCGACCACTTCGCAATGTCTTCTTCGATGAGTTACTGCCTCATCTTCGACCTGCTGTACCCTACTGGTCACGGCTTCCCACTAGAACCCCAGGTTAACTGCCTGAATAGGGCCAGTCACTAGTGAGCATCAGATGAATTTTCAAGTATTGGTTTTTGTAGGGATTTTGTTTGATTGCATGGAGGATTTAATCATGAGCTTCAGTCAAGAAAATTTTCTTTATCGACCAAATCATCTTCAGAGGCTGTATAGTCGTATTTATACTTAGAAAAATATATAGTGGTCTATTATTGAGTAATAGGTGGTGACATAATTGATATGATTATTCATAAGTGGCTTTAGAGGTGAAAATTAAAAGTCGTAAATTACGTAGTACTCAACGGAACAAAGATAGAAATTTGATAAGGTTAAAATTGCTCTTGAGTGAGAATACAAGTATTTGAATGTCAATTTAACAAGTGTGAAGAGGGTGTGAAAATATGCAAAAGGAGCATATGAGGTTGATAATATAGCAAAAATATTCATTCAGATATCTATAAAACACAACATAATCGAGCAAAGAATATTCTTTTCGATAAATTCCTCTTCTGGCTCTACAATTATATACATGTTTATATACACAGAATATTCAAGGTTGGTAGTTAATAACAATATTAGTGTTTTTTAAATAATATCGATTTGTAAAGCAAGATCAATGCAATTACAGTTCACTAAAAATACTTAAATTATAATAGTAATAAAGATATAATAGCGAGTAGGATATCAACTAAAATTAGGAAATTTTCACGAAAATTGAGAATCATTCAAACCTAGATGTAATTGCATTGATCTTGCTTTACAAATCGATATTATTTAAAAAACACTAATATTGTTATTAACTACCAACCTTGTATATTCTGTGTATATAAACATGTATATAATTGTAGAGCCAGAAGAGGAATTTATCGAAAAGAATATTCTTTGCTCGATTAGGTTGATAATAGTCAATTAATTATTAAAGCAAAAGTAAACTAAAAGTAAAATTAAAAAACAAAAGAAAAAATCAAAATCTTTTACAGGGAACGATTGGTGAAGAGGTTAAGACCATGGTAGAATAAGAGACTGGACAAACTTTTTCTGTATACAGAGTTCAGGGTTGTATTGATGAATTGCCAGTGCCTCCGCCATACACAAAAGCCGAAACCTAACACCCTTTGTACCATTTGGCCTCGCCTTGTAGGTGATCTTGAAAGACGACTCTGGAGGAGCTACGTGGCCTGAGTTCACCAAATGCTCAAGAATTGAGCTAGTAATTGTCTTACATTGTCCCTTTGCTAACCATGCCGGATAATGTTCAGAGATGCGTTTGGAAAGTGTGCGCTTTGTGCAGGCGGCCAATATAACTAGCTCCACACGAGCAGGTGAATTTATAAACACACATTGAGGTGGCCCAAAACGGCAGTTTATTCTTCACACATCCGTTGATCATTTGTCAGCTGTAGAAACTGATCCGTAGCTCAGCCGTTGAGAAGGCTTTCCTCAGTGTTCTGCATAAGTGATTCTTCAGAATCTCAGCTGTGGTATTACCTTCAAATTCAACGTTCATAAATAGCAGTTTCTTCAGCACCGTCTGGGTTCTTTCAGGCTACTGCTTTAACTTCATCTTTTTCTCGATAAATCTTGGAGGGTATCCATTCTCAATGAGGACTTGTCTGAGTCACCCCTGTTGCCCATCGATTGTATCACTTGAACATATCCTCCTTATTCTTGAGGATAAGGAATGGATCAGATTTCTCTAAAGATATTATTATTATTATTGTATTGATGTGATTTAATGGATGATTGGAAGAATTCATCAGGGTACCATGAATTTTTGCTTAAGCAATCCCTAGTATGAGTTTCCCATAGCCTTAAAAATTAAATTCTTTATAATACTGAAGCCCTTAATGGCAAATATCACAGACAGTAACTGTGCTTGAAAACAACGTATTTATGCCGGCAGTCTAATTCTCCTTGATTGGACACTAGTGTCATGTTTCCAGTCCTATCCTTGGTGCAGACTGAATTCTATCAGTCAGTCATGTTTACAGTATGTCCACCATGTTAGGTGGCTCGCCATTACGGTGCACTGTGAATTTTTGGTACTGTACGGTTGGAGGCAATTGACAGGAAGTTTTGGACCTAGATTTAGTGGTAACGTCTCCGACTACAATATTAGGTGACACGGGTTTGAATTTCAAAGCGAATATGAGTTCCTTTAAGGTTGCAGGTACACCTTGCTGACAAGTAGCAACAAGGACGAAACCTAAGTGCAAGACTTCCTGATGATTGCCCCCAACTATATAATACCAATCCAATACATTATCGAGATTTTCAGGATATAAACACCTCCGTTGAATCTTACGTCTACAGTCTTAAAAGACATACCATTATGTCCGAAATTGGGATATGCTCTAATTACGATATGAGTTGAAAAGCTCCACATAGTGACATCTCTCAAGATATCACATTTCTACTCAGAACCCAACCATTAAATGGTGACATACATTGTTGACCAACGTATTTTTATGTTAGCTAAGGATATCTTCAGCGGCCATATACTCACCGGTATACATAACCAAAAGCATTACTCATTATATCCACAAGTTCATACAACAAGTCATTTCACAAGCTCAATGCTTGTAAAACCAAGGAAAATAAAATAAGAGATCTTTATTGACTACACAAGCTCATGCTCGACACTGATTGCTAAAGAACATGATGAAAGTAGGAGATGCACTGTATGTAGTGCCAGACAGCAGGTCTACTCGTGCAAACATTTTAGTAACTCAACAAAAACATACTGCCACTAACTGTAACTTTTCTTATTTTATTTGAATACAAAATAAACTTAATCCATATAACTTCGGTAGTTTTAAAACTAATATACCGTAATATCAGTATTCAATATTGTGATATAATATCCGTCTGTCTGTCTGTCTGTCTGTTGTCGACATAAAACTTTGACTCGATGTGCATCAGCTCAAGTCTCCACACTCCACGTAGCACACAAAGCAAGAGAAGAAAGTAAAAGAAATACAAAATACAGCCAGTAGACAAAGATGTGAGACAAAGGAATAGTAACAACGTAGAACAATATCGTTTCGTTGGACATTATAAGCCACAAGGAGTGGATGCATCTGTGCCATCAGTGAGAACGATTTTGAGCCATATCACCAATTGTCGCCAGCCATTGGTTTTCACCGTTCCGAGAACCACGACCAGTCAGGAAGTCTACACCTTCCTACCTGGCTGGCTTAAACTAACTGTTTATGAATTTCACTGACTGGTGCCATGTTTTGGTTTGACCGGCACTAGCTCTTTCCCAACCTGATCCATTCTATGTCAGCTAACAGTGCCCATTGTCGAGAAAGGCGATGACTAGGCATATGTAACACATGTCCTAACCATCTCAGTCGATGTAACGTCACGGCCTCATCGATTGATTTCCCCTCCTTACCTAGCACCCGATGCCTAACCTCAATATTATAGATTCACCTTGTTGGCAGGGTGAGGTTAAGTCAGTTACCACACTCGGATCTTGTATGCGTGTCTCCAAAAAACAACATACATCCATGGGCTGAGAGGCCAGAGTTCTTGCTTGTGGTGCTCGTTGTTCGATTTGGCAGAGAGTCCTGACGTTGAAAGCTTCTTTATGAGGTTGGCGGCGTGGCTTTAAGAGGTTGTCGGGGTGGGTGTTTCTATGGCTGTGATCGTTGTTTGTGGTCACAGAGTGAAGTGAAGATGACTCACTAGCCTGAAGAATAGTACTAACTGTAGTAGGGGAATAAGATGATGAAGGCGATGTGGGTAGACGAGAATGATGCTCAGGAAGGCTTCGTGTGCTTTTGGAAGTGTTTGGGCGGTTGTTACTTCCCGGCTGCCCACACCGTGGAAGTTGATTGACTCTTCGGGTACCTGAAACAGAAAGAGTGTTGCGTAACAGCAGAGCCCAGGGGACAACTGCTTGAAGCCGGTCACACACGGCCTGTATGAACTAGTTTCTTGGTCTGGTTCCGTATTGTTAAACTTACCGCCTGTTACAGACCACCATAGGGTGTCGGGATGTACAATTTTCGGGGTCAACCATTTCTAATCCCCTCTCTCCAGAGTGGAGAGACAGCATAGCTGGCTATCATGCTGGTTATCTGAGGGAAACACCGCACTGCTGTTACATCCCTGTTCCCCAGCAGTACATCTTCGCCTTCAGACCCCCAGCATAGTGTAAAAAAATTCTTGCATTATGCCCGTAACTGCTTTTAGTCTAATCACTATCTTTACAGCCTTCATGGCATGGTAGGACCTGCAGGAACAATAGTTCCAGCCACTGTAGCTTGTTAGGTCATTGCGATATGCAAGCCCGACCACCAGACCAAGGTAGCAGCTATCGGTCGGGTGATATAATGCTAGTGATATAATGTTAATTGAACCATGATAACCATGAGACAACCCACCTTTACTGTTTAACCTATGAAATGAATCAACTTGTACATAAGTGTGCTCTAGTTCGGTATCACAGTTCTACTGTCACCATGGTCTCAGATACTTTGATAAATCCATTTCTTTGCTGTATGAATAATTCAGCGTGCTACTTAAAAAAGACTTCCGTCTGATCTAATATGGAATTTAGGTTAAAAGTTATTTGAGTAGTTTTTTTAATGGTCTCATCAAAACACTAGAGGTTTCTTTTACAGAATGCGTATACTAGGTTTCAAGCGTAACTACACTGTCCATACACTCGATCTCATGACCCTTTAGATATTGACTGAAACACTTTTTAATTGATTAATACTATCGTCTAGATCCCTATAGAATTCTCTATCATGTATAATTACATTAAATATTCTTTGAGAGTGATTTAGTATTATATCAGTTGAAAAAAAATATCACCATCATGCATGCCATCGAACATATTCTTAATCAAAATAGCAACAATTATTGATATACATATACTCCTAACTGATGAATCCAGAATAGGACGAAATGCAGGTCTTGAACTTTACTACTAGACCCTACCAATTTTTTAAGTGAAACAACCAACAATAATTAATAAGTGAAATGGTATTTCAGATCATAAAAAATTCACTTTATCAACTAAATTCCATATCAGTTTGTTTATTAGATGTATCACACAGTGAAACAGTATTATTTACTGGATGACGTTTCGAACAAAATTTATTACTGTTCATAATCATTACATGAATTGTAATCACACGACTTCGAAACTTCAGTCTTATAGTTTTCTTTGTTCTATCCTATTTGTTGTCGTCGGGGTAGTAGAGTTTTCCAGATACCCGGCTGGACAGGTGTTGAATCCTTCCTATTACACGTGTCAGCAGTTGATTCGATAAACAAAGATTCCGTTATCAATCTCTCCCTCTACCCTGTGACATAAGATTTCAAAACTGTCATGCTATCCCATCATACTGTATGGCTGTGTGTAATTGCATGTAGTGAGTGGTATAGCTGAACTATTCTCTAGATTTTTTATCTTATTCAGGTCAACTAATCTAGGTTTTCCTGGGTTCTTATGTTTGGCTAGTCTGACTGCCCATGTTCTACTAGCCTGACCTATGTATTTGTCCTGATAATCATTGCAGGGTATTAGATAAACTAAATTGTTATGTTTTAAAGGCTCCATTGGCACGATCCTTTGACTGACAAAGCTTGTTTCTAATTGAGTTTGTTGGGGGTTTGAATGCCAGCCACTTTTATTCCTGCCTTGTTAAGAATTCTGCATAAGGTTTCCGAGGTTACTTCCTTGTGAGAAATTACTACTGATGATTTAGATTCCTTAGTGTTGATGTCGTCATTAATATTATTATTATCACTTTTATTATTATCATTATTATTATTGGAGAAGACAGAGAAAACTATAAAACCCAAGTTTCAAAGTCGTGTAATTATAATTGATGGTATGATTATGAACAATAAATTTTGTTCGAAACGTCACCCAATAAATAACACTGTTTCATCACTGTGTGATATATCTAATAAACAAACTAATATGGAATTACTTACTACCACAATACCCAAATTTTACACATATATTTATCAACTAAAATTTATAGATTAACTCATCTTAACATTATTTGGAACATAAGCGTACTTACGAATTCGCAATAATCTTCAGATAATTGTTGATACACAGCAGACAGAGGATTACTTAAATCGTCATTCCAACTTTTAGGAATCTTCTTCTGATCAAGCATTTTAGCTGCAATAAGTACTGTATTTTTGTCTATTCAAATTAAGTAAAATTCGATAGTGAACATTTATCAAACAAAGCTAATAATAGACGAAAGTAAAGAATTTTCCGAGATAAAACTGACAATTATTCAAGCTAATATAATCATGAACTGATATAGGTTAGAGAAACATTGGAAAATCCGGGAGAACTGCCAGACAACTGTTTCGTCCCACTAGTTTGGGACTCTTCATCAGTACACACCCGCCACCAAGGCTCTAACCCAGGACCTTCTGGTTACAAGGCGAGAGAGCTTGCAGACCATTAAGCTACTGGGACCCAATCTAATGGCCAGTGCATGAATTCGAACTTCTGCCAACTCATAATGTGGCGCAACCACTGGTCAGTGTCATAGGCGGCGAGTATTTGTCCTCAAATGATGGAGTCCTGAAACCAAACAAATCCCTGCAAACCAGCACATGAATATTAGTATAATCAGTTGGTCATCGCCAATATTGAACGGATAAGTGGAAAAGAAGAAGAACAAAATGTAATGGGATTATTTCACAAATTTGTCTGTCTACAGTCATTTCAAATATTCAAAAGAAAAAATGAGAACTTCCAACAAGTATTATTTCCAATTGTTAGATTTTCACCATGAACCAGAATAAGTGAAAGATATTACTGAAAACCAGGGATCATTGAAGAGCTGTTTCATCCTATTCCGCGACTGTATGTCAGTGCACTCCTTTGACTCCACCAGGGCTCTAACCCAAAGCTTTCAGGTTATGTGACCAAACTCGTTGACTGTCCAGCCACTTGGTCCGGCCTTCAATGACGCTTGAATTTTACCTTTGCCAACTCGTGATATAGCGCTGTCCTCATCAATTCCTTTGATGAGCATTCACTTCATCTTGACATTGTGGACTCCAGTGGTTAGGACTGTGCACTGCAGCTTCAGGAAATTCATCCAGTAGCCATTATTTTGCTGTACTTTTGTTCTCATTTGTTTAAAATAGTGATCACAGAAATGATAGAGAAAGTGTTTCTTGTGTTCTTTGCACTGGATGATTTAACTGAGAAATTCTCACTGCTCATAACTAACTTCAAAGTGTGACTAGCTTTTAAAACCATCTTTTTAGGGAAAAAAACACCGCCTGAAAATAGCGGTATCCAGAGGGTTTTTCATCATCTTTCTTCAAACTGATATTCGACCTTTATTATTCAATAAAATCCATCTATATCAACATGCTTGTTAGTGACAAAGTGATTAGACTGATGAAAATTCTCTGTCAATCTGAATGCTTCTTCTGTTTAGACTTTTTACATTCTCTCAGTTAGAATGATGTCCGCATCTTTCTACTCGCACTTAGATGAAGGAATGAATATATATGCGCGTCGCTGGCACAGCGGTTAGGACTTTCGCCAACCATGCACATGGTCTGGGGTTCCATCCCCTGTCGACGCACACCTGAAATCTATAGTTAGCCTGCAAAATTTAGGCTACCGATATCCATGCTGAAAATTTCGTACTTGTACCAAAAATACAGTACGGAATCAAGCTGTAATAAAAATAAATATCTTTTGATTACTATTTTATGATTTGGGATACCGAAATGAGGAATTCACTTTTTTAATGTTAAAATGGTTTTTATTGTCTCAGAAGATGGTTTTTTCCTGGCTTCTTAATTTATGAATAGACATTTTTTGATAAAGTTGAAGGGGTATCCTTTTTCGAAGGTCCGTAAGAAGATATATCTCTTCTTCTCTTCTCCTCAGAACAAGAGTCCTTCAATGTATTTTGGCTCTTTTGAATAACTTTTATGTACAGTTTCTTTTGTATGCTGTCGTTATGCTGTCTGCTTATGTAATTCAGTATTTGATCAGCTTAGTCCGACTTAAGTCTGCACACTTGCATTAGCCATTCTCTTGTACTTGTTCTATTGACGAATATGTATTAAAATTAGAATTTTTACCCTCTGATCCCTCTTTTCTTGTAAACTGAATGTTGTCACACTCACACACATACATACACTGTTGATTGTGACAATGAGAACCTCACAACTATACAGCTGAGCTCAGAGAACGTAATAATGATATAAAATATTTTTTTTATTAATAATGATTATCAGCAACTAGAAAACATGTCTTAGAAGACATTAAGGTTTCACAATAATTTCATATACGCTTTAAGGAGTATTACGTATGCTAAACTGTTTATGGCACCTATACTTAAGTATTCAGAATACAGCAAGTTATCAGATCATTACTCAAACTTTATAGGAATTCTTCACACGTCAGGTCCCAGAGTAGAACCCAACTGGGGAAAACAAGAGTTGATCATTCGAGGGTGACACGGAGGGGATCCTACAGGGAGGAAATGAAAGCTTGTGGGTAGTTGTCGAGCCAAAAAAAGATGACAACAGACAATACAGTACAGAGAATATGAACTGTTGAAGCCCGTTGTTACATTCAGAATGCAAATAGGGAATAATAATTATTATCATTCATCAATGATAGCTGTATAACTACGACACTGGAGGCCTGCTTAGGACTTGGGCTATCGAAAAACCTCCATCAACATATTGCTGCACATATATAATTCCTACTATTCAATTTGTTTAAATCTAGTAAGATAATGACCTCTAATAGGACTGTTTGTTCTGGCGAGCATTTAAAACAATTAAATATGTCAACTCACAAACACTTGCAAACAATATTCAGCTAGGATATCGAGTGTGTCTTCTGACTGAATTTCGAACATCTGAATATCCCTAAATTCCTTGATTTAAATGGAATAGTAAAATCATCACTAAAATCACAGTAGGGTGGTAAGCGTATCCTATCTTCATTCACTTTCCATTTCAACTATATTACCTGGTTTACCTGAGGCCAAGATTACATTGTCCGAAGAATAAGAAGTAAATATGGTGTTCAGATAAGTTGACTTTCCTTTGATAAATTTAACGCCCTTAGTACTAGCTTCTTTAGGTACATGCTTGACACCTGTACTTTTCATTAAGTATACATGCTTAACATGACGCTGAGCTGCCTGCTTAGCCACAGCATATCCACAGTGCATGGACTGTCTGATCTTGCGCATATAGGATTCAAAGGGAAATGCACTGAATCCTCCTAGTGGCCCATGCAGCTTGACGTCATCCACTATATGTTTCAGAGAATGAATATTGTAAACAACATGTTCATTTCCGAAACAATTCTCATATTGCAGTAAGAAATTACTCAAATCTGTCCGAGCAGCATCCAAAAACAGTCAGCTGTATTTGGCACTCGGAAGTAAGTAAACTGCCAGGGAAAATTTCCTGTAATTATCGTACAGAGGGGGAGGCAGAGCGTTCCTGAGTAGGCGAGACCCTAATATAGTAGTTTTTTAAGAAGGACCAGGGTTATTTCAGTACAGACTGGGTTCACTTCAAGTCGATGAAATATTCGTTTACCATAAAAAAAAGGCATTATTGACGCGTTGGTTAGATTTTGCTAAGAATTGTTGCAAGGTTGGTCTTTTAAGCGTCCCAAGTTTACTATACTATACCTCTAAAAGTGCATTCATACCTCACAAACTTATATTCCATAGGTCCAGATAGGTCTTTTTTTACCCGAATCAACCCGATAGGATGTGTTGGATTCCTTTCAAAGAAATAATTAACAATTTAGTTTTTACCTTCATAAATGTATCAAAAGCTTGCTTAAACTCTACCCACGTATAAGATACGCAGCAAAGCATCATTCTTCCGATTATAGCCGTTACATCACACAATATAGATGACACATTACGTGAAGTAGAGGCAGTAGGAGTACTTTGCAACATCATTTAATGCTTCTAACAATTCCTAACGTGCACAACATAATGATTTCAAGTAAATGAACAATAGCATATATTTAAGTGCTTATATACCAGTGTTGTGACCTAGGAAATTTACTTGATTTACTCTGACCTAGTATGCACAAATCCCACAGGTCACTAACCTGACAACTTAAAAAAGTGGATCAGTTAATACATACATATATCTATATGTCCTAATTAAAGACATATTAAATTTTTAGATATTGTAGTTGAAATATATTCGCATAGTAAGCAAAAATGCATACATCCTATTTTGGACTTAAAATAAATCCATCAAAATTATTGTTGATTTATATTCACTTACTAGACATTCCCATACATCCCAATGTAATTTAAACACCAACAATGCATCCAAATAGTGTGTGACTGTCACACTACTCACACCAAAAAAATTAACACGCCATTATATTATGGTAAGGTAAGCCCTAAATCAATTTTTTTTCCCTTACGTTCCCAGTGGAACATAGGGCTCCAAGTTAGTGGCTTGAAGTTTCTGTAGCAGTGTTTAATTTTTACAGGATGGGTTGCTAGCCTCATACCCAACCTTTCCTCTCTACCAGGATTATTTCTGGCTCAGTGAGGTAAAGGAGTGAGCCGGCCGGGGGTCGAACCCCGGACCATATGCATGGTCGGCAAACGTCCTAACCGCTATACCACCGACGCCCTAAATCAAACTGACAGTAAATTTCCGTGTCAAAATAAAAAGATTGCCGCTTTAACTTATATTTTAGACCAATAGGAAGTCAGCTAGCCAACAGCCAATAAAAATCTGCCTAAATCTATTTTCCTGTTAATTTGCAAGTTTCTACTAAACATGTGAAAATGCCTTATCCTCGATGGCAGTTTATCCCAATACATAAGATGACTGCCTGTGAGTGGGGGCTTAGATTCACAAAATGTTCTCCTGGACTTTTGCACTAGGTATTCAACCAAGTGGAAGGAGAAAACGAAGAGATATCATAACAGATTCGCTAGCTCTTCACACCAAATAGAACTGTGTCACACAATCTATGGTCAGTTAATCTTTTATTTGAAGATCGTGGATGAGGGGGAAATATAATGTAGTCAACTCCGCTGGAAATTTTATACATTATATATACGTTGTTCAGAATAAAACTGTTATCATTACTATTATTATTATTATTAAAAAAAATAACCACACTGCTTTTCCTAACTGATTTTGTACAATATAGTAAATGATGTGTACTCATGGTGTGTACGAAAATGCGTCTCACAATGATTACATATAAAATTAAATATGCAAGGAGATAATGACGCTTTTAATTAGTTCAGTTTCAAGCGTTACTTTACTATACTTAGATCTAAATACCAGTATGCATATATATATATATATATATATATATATATATCAAAGTATCTGTAATTAAAAACGCCATAATCGATTTTCATTTATCTTATTTACATTTAAAATGTTCTTTAAGACATACCATTAATGGGCAGTCTATTTGTTGATGTTGAAATCCATCGTTTATTTAATCGCATAAATCTTTGAGGGGATTTTATACGTGGTAGGTCTCCAATAACTTGTAGATCTATTCTTGGTATGTTTATAGTACGTTTATATAGTAGTTGTCTCTTAGTGTCCCTATAACTTATTGTACTCAGAAGTGTACAAGAAATACACAGCAGAAATGTTAATACTTTTGTCGACAAATGTGGATACATATTTTTTGTACTCTGAAAAGAAAAGAAAAAAGAAAGAAAAACTATCTGAAATTAGAAATGCTGATAAAAATTAAAAAAAAGTTTTTAAGTTCTCAATGAGACTTTGGAAATCAAACTTTAAAGTTTCAATGACCGTAATATATTTGCTGGGTAAGGCTGCTAGCCTCACACGTCCAACCTCCTGTCTTTTCCTATCCTACTGCCAGTTAAATGAAGTTGGCTCTGAGAGTTGAGCCCAGACCTCACACATGACTAATGAGCATTCTATCATTAAACCAACGACAAATAATTGCTGCTGAATGTTTTTACTTGTCTCTGACTTTGCAAATATATCTATATATCTTTCGCTGTTAAAGCAGAACGGTCAATTAGCCGAAATAATCTTCTGACACGCTTGTCTTAGTCGTTTACTACTTAGAAACTGTAAATCATTACACACTTTAACCCTGAAATTTAATTATAAAAGACATTACCTGTAGCGTCTAATGACAGCTAGTCTGTATTGTATGATCTGAAGAAAGAAATAATAATAATTTCGCTTTTATTCCAGAAACAGTACTAGTAGTACAGTGTGGAATTTTCAGCACATATCTACAATATTGCATCTAATTTTACAAACATTTAAAAGGAGTATTTTGAAAAATAAATATGAAGAACAACAACAATTTAAAAAAATAATAAAGAAATGCGAAAAAATACCAAGAAGTAGAAAGGAAAATAAGCAACATAAAATAGTATCTCAGTATCGGGCAGTGGAAGCTGTGATATGTTTATGCTAAGGCAACAGTAAGCTATAATCATACAAGCTATGAAAATGATATTTAAGAATGTTTATCACCAAGATGATCAGTTAATTTGATTGAACAACACTAAACAATCATAAAATAAACATTTCAGGGTTTTTATTTTCAGGTCTAATGCGGTGTTTGTAGTGGTAGTGTGAGTAATCCCGAATAATACAAAATTTTAAGATGGTTATAATGGCGTCCACAACCAAGATTGTCAGTTAATATTGCCGAACAAAAAACAACCACAAAAATTAATATTACATGATGGTTAATGACAGGACAATTTTGTAATACTCATAGTACTAATATAGTCGGAACCAGTAGATACACAAAAGAAGGAATAGAGTAAAGTACAAAAAAGTAAGCCAATGTTAATAATCTAGATAGCTAAGTATGTTTAAGAAGGTATTCACTATGGAATACAAATAAGAGAGAAATAAAAGAGCCTAAAATTATGTTATTAACAACAAAGCAAGTCATAGCTTTCGCGCTTAACATTATCTCTGTCACTTAGAACACGGGCCAAATATGTTATCGTTGAGTTCCTATACTTGGTTGTACGAACATATATTATTTTGTACTGATTTCTGATTCTACCTGATGAGATACAAGGAGAGAGTTGGGAATAAAGGGGATGTTGGGGGTAGGAGAGTATGGCTTTAGACCATTTCTCGCATGTATTCAGATGCCTTTCTACTATCAAACTAATGGCTTACCAGTCATTTAAAGTTTAAGTATTGAATGATCAAGGTTTCAATAGTACTAATACAGTAGGCATATCAGTGATTAAATTTGATTCTTTTATTTCTTACCTTTCTAGAGAATATCTGACGTAGACAGGATGTGCTAACATTTTATGAATATTTTATATTTGTTATCTTATTACCTTACATTCCGAGTGGAGCATAGGGCTTCAAGCTAAGGCTTTGGAGTTCCACTAGCTGTGGTGTTCACTTTTACGAGGTGGGTTTGTTAACCTTATGCCCAACCTTCCACCTCTACCAGTCTTATTACTGCCTTAGCGAGGTAAAGGAGTGCATCAGTGACCGGGGATTGAAACCCGAACCCCTTGTGGTTCGTGTGGCTGGCGAGCACTCCACGGCTGTGCAACCGACGCACAACATTTTGTGTAAAGTGTATTTAAATTTGGTGTAAGTGTAGAAGTGAGGCACTGTGGTAGGACAAAATCCTATATAAGATAAACTTATCTAATATAACACACAGTTGGGTACTCCTGGGTTCTAATAATGTTCTCTGAGCTGGTTGGTTTAGTTGTAGAAATTTAGAAACACAAGTATATAGAAAATCAACGCACACAAATCAAATACTCAACTATACTAGCAATAATCCAATTACTCACAAACGAAACTGTGTGCAGACACTGTTTAAAAGAGTTCAAACAGACTGCAGCACTCCAGAGTTGAAAAGAGTGGAAGAAAAATACTTATAAACGGTCTTCAAAAAGAATGGTGATCCTCCAAAATTTCATCAAAAAGTGTTTAAAATCGAATCACAACACCAACAAGGAACCATCATCAAAGACCAAAAGGGAATTCATCCTACCATAAACATGAAAAATATTTCTGAAATAACAGCTAGAATACTGAAACCGTTTGATATGGATATAGCACACAAGCCAGCCAGATCACTTAATTCGATATTATGCACACCGAAAGATCCAACAGAAAATGGAGATACAATTAATACCATTTACAAAATAAACTCTATGAACTGTAACAGGCATTACATCGGCCGAAGTGGGCGTCCTCTTCGAATTAGAATCCAAGATAACAAATCAGGTGTGAAAAGACACGATACATTTTCTTTCATATCAATGCACATAGACAATTATGGGCATCAATCTGCCTGAGATAATGTCGAAATCTTGGACAGAAGAAACACCAAAAGTGCCAGGGAACTCCTAGAAGCCTGGTACTCAAACGAGTATGCAATTAACAAACACGTTAATATAGACCAAATATACCAACCAATAAAAAGTAAATCATGTGACCAAAAAGTTTAAAATCCAGGTCAATAAAAAATGCAAAATAATCGAGCAAAGAATATTCTTTTCGATAAATTCCTCTTCTGGCTCTACAGTTATATATATATATATATACACAAAATATTCCAGATTGGTAGTTAATAACAATATTGGTGTTTTTTAAATAACATCGATTTGTAAAGTATGATCAATGCAATTACAGTTCACTAAAAATACTTAAATTATAATAGTAATAAAGATATAATAGCGAATAGAATATCAACTAAAATTAGGAAATTTCCAAAAAAATTGAGGATCATTCATACCTAGATGGCCATGGTAAAGACAGTGTCTGAACTAGCTTCTTTTGGACGCACAAATTAGGCTTTTTAATGTGGATCCCAACAGCCTCAGCAATATTTAGTAATCGAACTCTTAAGGCGGAGTTGAGATTTGTTGCTCGATTTTTTTGTGTTTTATAGATATCTGAATGAATATTTTTGCAATAGAAAATGGTCAATATATATGTAAAAATGGATACCGGGAGACGCAATTATATCACTCATGAAGAAATTTAAATCATTCCACTTTATGCAAAATACTGCGCTGAAGATGTTGTCCAGAAGGACGACGAAAGCCCAGCAAATGAACCAGCCAGCTCAGAGAACACTCTTAATTGCAAATCATTCACCTGAGCTACAAATCTTATCTACTCTTCGGTTCTCAATGATCCTCTAGTATTAGACTAATCATATAAATTCCAATATCAATCTTCAAACTACTATTGTAACAACAGAAGACAATGGCCAGTCAACAAATTGTTTATTGAGAAAATCAACAGATATTTATAGAATTTTATGCACATTATAATTAGCGTTATTGTTAGCAGAGAAGCGACGCTGTCTGATTGATTATTTTCCTGCTGAAGTTTGTTCTGTTATCTGTTTGTGGTCATTTCTTAGACAGTCCAGTGGTATATCTGCGAATGGTATTTGCACATGCTAAGTGTGCTGTGATTGATTGTTGGGTTAGGCTTTGTTATCGTTTCTCCTCATGACCCCGATTTGGGACTTAAACTTTGGCGTCTACAATTATGACTAGCAGACAGCTCTCACTACATTATAACACCTTATTTCTTTATTTTTAAAATATGTGAAATAAATGCTGAGTCGATAAACAAAAGTACAAACACCTATGCTTTAATCAAGTTATCCATTTTTTTTTATTTTTTGTTTTATTTATTTATTTTATTTTTATTTTAGTTATTTTATTTATTTACTTCAAGAGTGAAGTTTCAGTAGCATTGGTCTTGTTTCTACGTGATGAGGTTGTTTGACACACGCTTATCCTTCCACACCTTATCTCGACGTGCTATCGGCTAATAAACTAAGCGAAGTTTAAGAATGCATCAGTCAGGAACAGAACGCGGAACTCTTGTGAGGCTGGCAAGTGTTCTACCACTGGACCATTATTAAGATGTAAATACAACTCATCCTTCCTATGTAAAGCTAATTACTAATACTAAATATATTACTGAAAAGTTGTGTAGAAAAAGCCTCTTGACGGCTTTATGCAAACAAAAGCAAAAGAGTGACGAGAATATTAAGTTATGTATAAATTTTAAAAAGAAGGAGGTTGGTAAGAATGCGGTTTTAAACATCAGACTTAATAGTGAATCTGTCTCAGATGTGTTTTACTTCTTATTTTGTGTTACATGTACAAGTATTAATTCAATCCAATAAAACGTAACAAAGAATCTGCTTAGGGTTTTCAGTGCCTACAGATGATGACAAGCGGAGCATGTCTGATTTACTTGATTTTGTGAAAGTAGACTGTAAGCATTTTGACTACTGTTACAAAAGTACTTAAACTTATGTCTAGAGCTTCTGTTTGATCTATAACGTAGTCTAATATCTAAACAAAGAAATGCCAAGAAGTAAAACTGTGTTTCGTTGTTTCACACCCTTTGGAATTGTGTAATATTGTAGAATATACTTCCAGAAATATAAAAGCTGATTAAACTGTCATTGGAAGGTGATATCTTATTATTAAAGTCAATACTCTATACAAATAAAGCACAATACTGCGAAACTAGACACTGGGCCTTGGCAAGATTTTATTGATGAACTGGAATTCTATTGTCGGTACACGGATGATACGTTCTTGATTATGAGAAATGAGAAGGAAACAAACAACATCCTGGACAAATTTAACGATATTCATCCTGCAATAAATTTTACTATTAAGAAAGAAAAAGACTCTAGTATTTCATTTCTAGACGTCCCTATAACCAGAAAAGAGGATGGCACAACAACAAGAAGTTTATTTAGAAAACTTACATCAACTCATCAGCATACTCATGCTTTCAGCTTCGCACCCTTGAAATACAAACACAAGCTGATAAAGTGATTGGTTCACAAAGCAAGAGAAATCTGCTCGGATGAATGTATTCATGAGGAACTTAATAATATTAAACGGTTGATGAGTGAAAACGGTTGTCCACAAAAGTTCATTGATAAGAATATGAATCTAAGACCAAGGCAGTCCAAGGTACCAACAGCTCCTAAAAAGGCCTTATTCTTAAAAGTTCAGTTCCTCGGAGGTAACACCAGCGAGATACTAACACAACGCCTTAGCAATGCGTTAAAAAGAGTATTCCCTGCTGCCGAATTACGCGTTGTCTTCAAAACCAACCCTCTCTTGCCTTTGGGAGTAAAAGATAAACTGCCTAATTTCGCCTCTTTTATGTGTATCTACCAATTTCACTGCTCCTGTGGAACCAGTTACATAGGCCGGAGAATTAGGCGTGTTTCTCGTCGGATTTCCAAATACCAACCTGCATGGTTAGGTAAAGGACAAACAAAATCTATTCGCAGCGCTTTTCCATCTCATCTTCCGGATACAGAACACAAGATTGATGTCAACGAGGCGGCTTTCAAAGTCATTAACCACATAACTTCGCCTTAAAACTTCGTCTTCTAAATACTGCTGAGGCTGTTGGGATCCATATAAAGAGGCCTAATTTATGCGTCCAAAAGAAACTAGTTCAGACATCGTCCTTACCTTGGCCATCTAAGTTCGAATGTTCCTCACTCTTTTGTATAAATTTCCTTAATTTTAGTTGATATTTTATTTGCTATTCTATTTTTACTATTCGTGTTATTATAATTTAAGCATCTTTAATGAACTGTAATTCCTTTGATCTTACTTTACAAATCGATATTAAAAAAACACTAATATTGTTATTGACCACTATTCTAGAATAGTCTATGTATATAAACATCTCTATAATTGTAAAGCCAGGAGTTGAAATTATCGAAAAGGATATTCTTTGGTCAATTATTTTGTTTTTTATGAATATAAATCGACTGAAGTCTACTTACTTATTAAGAAAGTACTATGTACTTCCATGTTTTTTTTTCCTTCACGTTCCCCAGTTGAACATAGGGTTTCAAGCTAGTGGCTTGGAGTTCCTGTGGCAGTATTTAATTTTACAGGATGGGGTTGCTAGCCTCATGCCCAACCTTTCCTCTTTACCAGCATTATTTCTGGCTTAGCGAGGTAAAGGAGTGAGTCGGCCAAGAATCGAACCCCGGACCATTTCCATGGTCGGTTAGCCTCCTAACCGCTGTGCCACCGACGCACTACCATGTAATTCAATGATATTCTCCAACAAAATGCATAACATTATAAACACATTATCACAGAAATCTACTTACCTATTAATTATAGTCTGTCTATACTTCAGCAAATAATCTGTTCCTTCGAAGATTTTAGAATGATACTAAGGGAAACTGATTCAACACTCAAATAATTACTCAATTCTTTGATATATATAGAGTGATAAAATATAACTTTAAGTACAATTGCCTTTGTTCACTATTAATAAATGGTGTATAATGCACTTAAAAATGAATAATTATCATAAAATAATTTTGAAAATAATACCCCAATTGTATTTCTTTATCTCATTCAAAAGGATATTCGATTGAAATAGTCAACTGTTGATTTGACCTCTAGTTAAATTGCTACCGACACAGAAAACAATAGTAAGAAGAAGAAGAAGAATGCACACTGACAAGTTGACAGGTTGCAAATAGCCCTATTAGAAGAATGAAATCAGTTCCAATTTGTTTAGCTTAGACAAGGTATACCTCTTTGACTGTCTTATTTGTTGTCAACATTCCAGTAATTATGATTAATAAAAGGACATTCAGTTTCCTATTTTTTATGCAGATATTTACTAAACGGTTAGTGTTATGACCGGAACTATGACCTAGCAGACTATGAGCGAATACTAACTTCAATTCGCTGGCTAGTCTATCCTAATCGCACGACAACAACAGAAGACAAGGGCCAGGCAACAGATCGTTTTATTATGAAAATCAACACGTATTTATACATATTTCACATACATTATTATAGCTTATGCAAGTAGACAAGCGCAGTCATCTGATTGGTTGTTTATCAGAAGTTAAGCAGACAAACGCAGGCTTCTGATTGGTTGTTTCGGGATTCCTCGACAAATAGAGTTCTCTATCTGCGAATCATATTTTGCCACGTTAACTTTGCTGTGATTGGTTGTTGAATCAGCCTTGCTCATATTTTCTCACGGCCTGCTCTCACCACAAACAACAATAATAATACCGCCAGGCTGCAAAGACAGAAGAAAAAACTGGACGTTGGTAAGAGAGCTTTTACTGTCCCAAAACAGCAGTCAAAAAAAAAAATTAGTTGACAGAGCTTGCTACATATATGTTTAAAATGACCTTCAAAGCACTAATGTCGTTGATAAATTAAGACGGTGAACAACCAATAGGATTTCAAAGGTCATAAGTAGCGTGAGAGAAAATTTGGTCACAAATCAATAAGTGTGATGAGAGAAATACAAACGCACACGTAAAAATAATATGTGGAAAATTACGTCTGTATATATCAGTTGGATAATATCTGTATGGAGTACTCACTACCATACTATTGGTTCTAATCATTTTGTTAATGACAAAGTGAATTCCCGAATATCAATCTGCCAATAACTGGTTCTCAACGAATGCTTGTCACTCACTACACGGATCGGGATACAGCTAAAATCAAAGCTACACTATATAAAAAGGAAGTAAGTTTGGGTTAGAAGTAAGGAGAAGGTGAATAATCAGTTACATTTGAAATATATCGGGGGTGGGGGGAGGTATAGGTACTCTGTCTAGATCCCAAATGACCAGAGAAACCTATAGGTGGCTTAGTAGCAACTGAGACAAGGCAGTTGCTGTCTCCTATTCATCTTAATAGTAAATTTCCTTATTCACTTTTTGTTTTCTACTTTTGTCTAGAAACATCCTATAGATTTTTAGTTTATGATTTTTATTCCCTTGTATCTATTTTTATGACCTTTCTATCACATTCACTCAAATGTCCTTGAAAATCCAAAATAACTGCATTGACTACATTATAAATTGAACCACTTGCTAGACTGAAATAGTTCACTTTTTTTGCTTAAATGGTTTTTGTTATAACTGAACTGAATAAATCTGTCGTTACTTTGTGTTTTGTCTGCACCTGTTAATTACCATAACGGTGATGAACTCGACCGGTGCGCTAAAATACGTCTATTGTCTGTTGTACCTTCCGACTCACTGAGCCACGTAAATATCAGAAAACAATGGCTGACCTGTGACTGTACGATATTGTATTATACATATATATTAGGAAACAAAAAATATTTATACATTCAACTTATCACACTACAGCTGGCTCACAACCGTAAGATTAGACTGTTCTTATTGGCTAGAAATGGCTATCCCGACCGAAAGCTGCTACCTTGACGTGGTGGTCGGGCTTGAACACCGCAATGATCTATTCAAGCTATACTGGCTGAGACTTATGTCTCTTGAGGTCCTACCATGCCAGGCAGGTTGTTTGGATAGCGGTTAAACAAAAAGCAGCTACCCAATCCAACATCATGTCCAATACAAAATCACAAAATTTCATGCCGGATCGGCCGTGGCCCGGATTAACAACGACCGCGCTTCCTGCTGCCGTGTCACAGGGCGGGAGTGATAAATATGCTACTGAGGCACACCAAACAAAAGAGAACGAACAAAAACAGGCCGCGTGTGACCGGCCTCAAGCAGTTGTCCCCTGGGCTCTGCGGTCACGCAACCAACTTCCACGGTGTGGGCAGCCGGGAAGTAACAATCGCCCTCACAATCCGAAATGCACACGAAACCTCTCTATTACTCACTCATCTTTGTCTTCATCTTCATCTCTATCATCTTGCCTTCCTTCCACTGATGCAACTCCTCGACTTGATAGCTCTCCACTTCCTCTCCACTCTGCGTCCACTAAAAACGATGGAAGCCAAAAAACCACCACCGACAGCCTCTTAAAGCCGCGCCACCAATTTCATATAGGAGCTCTTAATGTTAGGACACTTTGCCAAATAGGACAACAAGCATCACTAGCCAAGACCCTGGCATCACGAGCCATTGATGTATGCTGTGTTTCAGAAACACGCATACAAGACCCAAGTGTGGTTATTCACCTAACCCCACCTGGCCAACAGGTTGAATCTGCAAAATTCACCTTGAGGGTGTCAGGAGATGCCACAGCTAGTTCACGAGGATTAGCTGGCGTAGGGATAGCTTTGAGTACTAGGGCAGAAAAGACATTGCTTGACTGGATCCCGGTAGATAGCCGAATGTGTGCTGTCCGCCTGAACGGATCAGTAAGAAGGAGGAAGGACTGCACTACTCGCCGATGCCTTTTCGTAATCTCCGCCTACGCCCCCACTGACTGCAGTTCAGATGAAACGAAGGATGAGTTCTACCAAAAGCTGTCTAGTTTGGTGCGAAAGGCTAAACGCTCAGACATAGTCGTTCTAGCTGGTGACTTTAACGCTCAAGTAGGGAAATTGTGTCAATCTGAGAAGGATGTCGGTGGCACCTATGGAGTTCCGTGCCAGCGAACCGACAACGGTGACCGTCTCCTACAGTTCTGCTCTGATAATCATTTGTTTCTTGTAAGCACTAACTTCAAACACAAGGAGAGACACTGTTTGACTTGGAGACCCCCTTCATCAAACCAACGCTGGACACAAATAGACCACATAGCAATAAGCTATCGTTGGCGTGGGTCGGTAGGAGATTGTCGCTCCTTCTGGAACACGTGCGTAGATACCGACCATGCACTGGTCCGCGCTCGGGTGTGCTTACGACTGAACGGACGTAGGAAACAGCTGGCGGTAAAACCATCACGTCCCCAGCTCGATCAGGAAACTAAATCCGTATTTGAGGAAGAACTAGCTAAACACATATCTGTGTTCGACAGCTGTGCTCACCCTGAAGAAGCTTGGAAAAATATCCAGGCAGCCATAGATACAGCTGTAAAAGCTGTGAATAAGGTAAACCCAAAGGTGAGTAAAAACCACTGGATCTCCACCGCCTCATCCGAACTGATAGATGCTAGAAGACTTATTCCGGCGAGCTCCGAATTCAATGAGGAGCGAAAGCTGCACAAGAGGAAACTTACGAAAAGTCTCCGCAAGGACCGTGAACAGTGGTGGGCGACAAAAGCCAAAGAGATGGAGAAAGCTTCGAGGATAGGCAACACCAGGCAACTCTTTGGACTCATCAGGGAAACGGGTGGGAGAAGACAAATCATCAGTGAGACAATCTCGGAAAAAAATGGCACTATAATTAGCTCACAGGATAGACGACTGGATCGTTGGAAAGAGCATTATGAGGAGCAGTTTAATTTGCCCACAGCCACGCTCAACCTTCCGAGCATCCAACACCTCCCTGAATGGGATATAGACACAGGTCCTCCGTCACTAACTGAGGTTACTAAAGCTGTCACCAATCTGAAACTAGGCAAAGCAGCGGGACCTGATGGAATGACTCCAGAGGTATTTAAGTACGGTGGAGACAGCTTACTGTCCGGATTAACTGAGGTACTAGGCAGCGTCTGGGAATCAGAAGAAGTCCCATCGGGTTGGTGTAAGTCACTGATTATCCCCATATACAAGAAGGGAGACAAGTCTTCCTGTGATAATCACAGAGGGATTAGCTTGACTAATATAGTATCTAAAGTCTTAGGCTCAATAATCATGCGTAGACTGAGTGGTGCTCGGGAAGCACAAACACGAGAGAGCCAGGCAGGCTTTAGACCAGGAAGAGGGTGTATTGATCATATCTTCACCCTCCGACAGATTCTAGAACATAGGCATTCCTACCGGCGTCCAACAGTCATTATATTTCTTGACCTAAAGGCAGCATTCGACTCTGTCGATCGGGAAGTTCTCTGGAGATGCTTGGCTGTAAAGGGAATTCCGAGAAAATATATTGCACTGATTAAGGCACTCTACTCGTACTCATACAGCCAGGTGAGGGCTTACGGCGAGCTGTCATCTGAACTGATGACGACCAGTGGTGTCCGTCAAGGATGCCCATTATCTCCTTTTCTATTCAACTTCATCATAGATGTGTTAATGGACTTAACCCTAGGTGACTTCAGCGACTCAGGGATTGACTTGCTACCGGGGAATAATCTCGTTGACTTGGAATATGCAGACGATATAGTCCTTCTAGGCGAAGACGCTGACGAAATGCAGAGTCTTCTAAACACCTTGAGCCGCAATCTACGAATGTTTGGCATGCGATTCGCTCCCGCCAAATGCAAGATGATGTTACAGGACTGGACTACATCGACGCCTAGTTTAAAAATAGGAAGTGAAGTGGTAGAGCACGTTGACCGCTTCACTTATTTGGGAAGTACCATCAGCCCCAACGGGCTGATCTCTGACGAAATCTCAGCACGAATACAAGGGGCTCGTTTCGCATTTGTTAGTTTACGCCGACTCTGGCGTAGACGAGATGTTCGACTATCGACCAAAGGGCGGGTGTACTGCTCATCAGTCCGCTCCGTCCTCCTTTATGGTTGTGAGACCTGGCCACTGAGAGTGGAAGACATGAAAAGACTAGCTGTCTTTGATCATAGGTGCCTGCGTTCTATTTCCCGTGTAAAGTGGCATAATAAGGTGAGCAACATGGAGGTTAGGCGTAGAGTTCTAGGTAAACAGGGGAAATCAATCGACGAAGTCGTGAAGCTACAAAGACTGAGATGGTTAGGACATGTGTTACGTATGCCTAGTGCCATCGCCTCCCTCGACGAGCAATGTTAGCGGATATAGGGTCAGGCTGGAAAAAAGCTAGCGGCGGTCAAACAAAAACTTGGCATCAGTCAATGAAATCCACAACAGTTGGTCTAAGCCACGTAGGAAGGTGTAGACTTCCAGGCTGGGGTCCTCGGGACGGTAAAAATCTATGGTTGGAAACAATTGGTGACATGGCTCAAAATCGTTCTCAGTGGCGCAGATGCATCCACTCCTTGTGACTTATGATTTCTAATGAAACTGTTTTCTTGTTCTTTATTACTCCTTTGTCTCACACCTCTGCTCACTGTTTCTATTATGCTTTTCTTGTACTTTCTTCTCTTGCTTCGCGTGCTACACGGAATGTGGCGACTTGAACTTCCGCACATTTGTGCAAAGTTCTATGGCGAAAACAGACAGACAGACAGAAATGGCTATTCCGACTGGTTGGTGGTCTAACAAAGACGAAGGTAAGACAAAAGACGATGAATTGATCACACACTAAATCACAACATGAGTGAGAATTGATACCTTCACTTAGTAACTTCATCACAAACTAAACCACACGATTCGTGAGAAAGGATGGTGTCTGTCTGTCTGTCTGTTTTCGACATAGAACTTTGCACAAATGTGCGGAAGTTCAAGTCGCCACATTCCGTGCAGCACGCGAAGCAAGAGAAGAAAGTACAAGAAAAGCATAATAGAAACAGTGAGCAGAGGTGTGAGACAAAGGAGTAATAAAGAAATTCTATTTTTTATGCTGGGTCCTATCAGTTTTATTGTGATTTCTCTAAACATATATCTATAGTTATCCTAAATCTTGTAAAGATTTGTGCATAATTAGCCATAGAATGGTGACCTGAATACCTCATTTGTAGAGTTTCTGACCTTGACATTGTCTGATGCACACTAAAGGATCAAAGGGAATATGAGTTTGTAGAAGACTGTCGACATTCCTTTTTGATGACAAACAGTAGACACAAAACCCAAGCTCATGATCTTTTGACGATGGACTCCTATATATATATATATATATATATATATATATACCTTGAATTATGTTTATCATTTGGAATTTCCCCTCTGTCTTAATTTGTGAATACAATACTTCGCTTTACACTGATTTATTCATTTTACCTATACTTCCTTCTCTCCTTGAACTCTGTACAGTACACCATGAGGTACTGTGAACAAGGTCTAGTAGATAATCATGAGTACTTTATAACAAGTATTGCTTGTAAACAGATATGCCAAACTTACAGAATAACAGTATTGTTGTTTATGCAAAAGACAACTTGTACACGTTTTCTCTATTAAACAAACGGCTACCGTCTTATTGGGATCACTGGAATAAATTTCTTTTCTACTGACATAAAAAGAACATAAACATGATACATATGATTTCATGACAATGTGAATATCGGTGGATAAACAGAATAAATCGAACGATAAGCATAACTGTCCTGAGATATTTAGATTTCTTACATTGTATGAAGAGAGGAATACGTTGGCCAGATAAGAAGACTCAAGAAGATCTGGATTTCGTGTATGGATGATTTATGTTTAATGTCATACAAACTCTCGAAGACTTCCAGGAGAAAACGAAAAAATTTAGGAAAAGGCAGGCAGCGAATACAGGACTGCAGGGGAACATAGAGAAGATGGAGGTGATGAAAATAACCAACCAACAACAACTAGCACCATTCACCATCAACAGCGGCAGATCGACAGAGGTTACCTCCGTCACTTATCTAGGAAGCATCATTTAAACCGCAGGAAGTCGGAACGGTTGGAGATTTCAAAGCAAGTCAGCTAGAATCGGAAAGGCGAGATACGCCTTCATCACTCGGAAATCAGTTTGGAAATCTGCGCTGCTGCACCCCATCTCAGCAGAAACAACAACATTCGGATTCTGTTCATTTCTTCTATACGGGTGAGAAACTTACACTGCGTGCATTCCATGAAAATCATTTCCAACAGCCTGTTGAAGACTAACATTTACAGCTGCCCGCTTCGCTGGCTGGCTCCATACTGAAGATGAAATGGTCGGCGAGCGGCCAGAAAGAATTAGCAACAAGAAACTCTGGCTGAGAGCAAACCACCGGTGCAAGAGCAGATTGCTCAACAAATATGTAGGAGGAAGTGGAGATAGATGGGACACACACTGAGGAGGCCATAGAATGACAGAAAGCGCCAGACCATCGCTCGAGTGGAACCCCAATGGAAAGCGACCAGTGGGTGATATGGAGGGGATCGTGTGAGGAGGAGATGAGAGATTATGAGCACTGGTGGACCCAGGTGAAGAGGACAGCAACAAATAGAAGAGAGTGGAGATGTGTTGTTGAAGCCCTGTGTTCCACTCAGGACCCAAGGGAATAATAATAATTCACTGTAGGAAAAATGAAAGCTATCTTCTAACCGATGTTGGACATGCTAACTCTCACCTATGGGCAAGTTTGCGACGTGCTAAGCTGGTCATAAGCAGTATTGATCTCACTGTTACTTTGGGGTTATGTTATACAAATAATCCCATCCGAATCTTCAAGCTTTCAGACGAATTATTTACCAGTTCCTCTTTCTATGACTCAGTCATATCCTTCTTGTTGAAAGAAGATACAATTTAGAGCTGAATTTATCTTTTGTATGTAACTCTCACCATAAACAAAATTGAAAACCAATAGATACGACACAGAAGTAAACGGCTTTAATAAAATATGTCTAATCGAAATTCATAAATAAGTATACGAAGGAACAAATAAGTAAGCGAAGTTTAACACATTTGAGGAGAAGTTTGTTTTTAGTGCCCCAGGTAATAAAACTGACGATAAAATCAATTCGATTAAATTCTGCACTCAAAAGTACCTATCCAGCTACCAAGCTTACTACTCAGCGTAGAACAAATTGCTCACTCAAACATGAACGGCCTTTCTTTTAATGAGGCTTCTATATGAGTCCACCAGATCACACAAACTAGCTGGAGCTATTGCATCTCAAGACTAAAGAGAAAGATTCTTAATCGTAATCTCTGGGGATATCAAAAGAATTTCGGGGTTAAAAATGTCTATCTTCAACAATGTAATCACTGGTCATTTATGAACTTGTGAATATAATGTACACATTCTTAATTCCTTCAAGATAATCATCAGACAGATGAACTCAAATTTACTGTTTTACCATTGATCACAAACGACTTCAACGAAACGTGTGCATTCAGGACCCGGTTATTTTTCGTATTAAATATTTTTCTAGTTACGTAAAATGACCAAACGATCACCCTGTTTTTGATGTGGTTTTTTCACACACAAAGGGTCAAAGTTCAAGTCAAAGAAACAACCAGTCTCAATACAAGTAACCTAGAAGGTGTGAAAACACACACAAACAACCAATCACGTCCAAGGTCACCAGGAGAGATGATTAATAAACTCGTGGAGAAATCTAAAAGCTCACTTCAAATTGAAGTATACGCTGAAGATGTCACCCAGTAGGGTGATGAAAGCTTCGCAAACTAACCATCCAGCTCAGAGAACAAAACCACATCAAAATCATCCACCTGAGCTACAAATCTTCCCTATCATATCTAAATCACCCTGTTTTCCTTTCGCTGACCCATTTTTGATTCCTACTCACTCAATTAGCGTTTTCAAGCACCACTAAGCGGGTACTAGAACAATCTAGAAAGACAGACTGCCGTTCTCGGCATTTACGAATATTTATACTAACTATTTTCAGTGCATTCGTCAAATCGAACACACAGGTAAATGACAACTCCGTATGACTGAGCATTTATCCAAATTGTCGATCCAAACTGGCGAAAATCCCTGGTAACTGAATAACGAGGCACCTTCTAGACTATTGGTATAAATTTAATGCCATCAAGACATTCAGCGCTATCAGTAGGTGACCAAGTACGAGTATTCTTGCAATCCCAAAGGCTTATACAACAACAGGTTTCTGTGATCAAAAGGAAACGATGATGGCTTCGAATCTGCAATAGCAATAGCGTTCAATTTTTTTAACTAATATTACTACTTTAATTTAAACTATATTTTGTCCTTATCACTATTACTAAAAATGAATCTTTTTAAACCTGTACTATTCTTGTCTATCAACAACTCACTTCATTATTATCAATCAATTTACAATCCTTACTATTACCAATGTCTTATCATAGTGACGTGACTAAACTCTAATTCGTGCAGTCTTATATGTGAATTTCCTGTAAATCTCTCACATTCTACCTCTCTAAGTTCACCAACACTATCAGTACACTTTCTTCAAATGAATTCTGAATTGATAACTCGATAAAAGTAGGCAATAATAATTCTCATATAAATATCCAATAATCATTATCTCGAGGAGCGACAACTGACTATCACTCAGATGCTAACTAGTGACTGGCCCTATTCAGATAGTCTCACCTGGGTTCTAGTCAGAAGTCGTGACCAGTAGGGTACAGTAAGTCAGGTATGAGGACAAATACTCGCCGCCAATGACATTCGCTGGTGGTTGGAATTCATGCACTGGCCATTAGATCAGGTCCCATTGGTTTAGTGGTCTACGAGCTCATCTAGCAACATGAAGGTCCTGGCTTCGAACCACGGTCCGTATGTAGTATGAAGAGTCCCAAATTAGTGGGATGAAACAGCTGTCCAGTACTCTCAGATTTTTCAATGCTTCTCTAAACGATGTCAGCTCATGATGAAATCCTGTAATTACTACCCTACTCTGAAGGAAGTTGATGAACTTCGGGACAAAAATTTGACATCATCACATTAATCTCCTTAAATTGTTATTCTTTCCTCATTACAAGCGAAACCAACAAACTGGTCAAAGAAGCAGCTGGCGAAGACAGGACTCCAAGTGAACATAGACAAGACGGAGGTTTTGAAAATAACCAACCAACCAACAACAACAACAACAGCACCAACATCCAGCTCCAATCACCATGGACGGGAGGAATTTGAAAGAGGTTACTTCATTCAATTACATATCTAGCGAGCATTGTCTCAACTACAGGCAGTCGGAACGGACGAGGATGTCAAATCGAGAATCGGGAAAGTGAGAAACACATTCATCAACCAACCTGAAACCAATCTGGAAATCTTCGTCACTCCACTCAGCATCAACAACAAAATCCAGTCGGATTTTCAATACAAACGTGGTCAAGTCAGTCAGTTCTTCTATACGGATCAGAAACTTGGTGGGCGGGTCACAAAGAACAGGTATTTCCAACAGCCTGTTGCAGACCTTCATCAACCAACAACTGTCTTCGCTGGATCTATACTGAAGATCAGATGGCCGGGCCGGAGAGAATCACCAACAAGAAACTATGGCTGGGAACAAACAAAACAAGAACCGATCGCCCAACAAATATGCAGGAGAAAGTGGATGGCGATGGATTGGACACTCGCTGAGGAGGCCACTGGGTGACATCGCGCGCGTCATGCCGTTGCTCGAGTGGCACCCGAAGGGGAAACGACGAGTGGGACGTCAGTGCAAGGGTGACACGGAGGAGATCGTGTGAAGAAGAGTTGAAAGAGTATGGACTAACATGGATGCAGGTGAAAAGTACAGCAGAAAACAGAAGCAAGTGGGGACATGCAGTTGAAGCCCTATATTCCACTAGGAACCCAAGGTAACAATAATAATGATAAAATATTAATTTTCAAATCTTGAACACTGACTATTAGGTCAAAATGTCGTAGGGTTTGTTTTCTCACATACAAAACTAACTCGTTATGAGGGGTTTAAACAGATTTAAATGATTGTCTCAGTATTTAGTTGTTTTTTCTTCATCATTCCTTGCTCTTCGAGTAGAAACATGATACTTCAACCTGTTTTTACGGAATAGGATTGATTCCTAGTCTCACGCCAAACCTTCCACCTTTTCTGGGCTTACTGCTGGCTGGTTAACTAGTCAAAGTTTAAGAATTTTTCGGTCGAGAATCGAACCTGGACTCCACACATAACTGATTAACTGGCTGGTTGAAACACCGACACCCTGTTTATTTTTTGTAAAATAGGGAATCCTGTTCCATCATATATTTACCAACACTACCACGTCTAATCAGATGAGTGCACATTACGACCATCTCGAACAGTTTACTTAATTAAGAAGGATACTACAAGAGATTAATACTGCGGTCTCAGTTACTTCTGCGACTATCAACCAACTTTATCGCTAGAAAATTAGAATACGCAAGTACATGGTGTAGCAATGGGTTCTCCCTTAGGACCCCTCCTAGCCGACTGCTTTATGGCTAGCTTAGAAAACAACCCCTTATCACCAACTATCAACGACCTCCATCTCTACAACAGATACATAGATGATACTTTTCATTATCTGTGATGAGAATTGTGATTTAAAAAACCTACTTCAAATCTTCAACAACGCCCAACCAGACATCGACTTTACACTTGAGACTGAATCCGACGGAATACTCCACTTCTTCGACGTCCATCTGACAAGAAACGCTAACAACTCTCTGAAAAGATCCATATACACAAAGCCAACATGGAATGGACAATCCATCGACTTTCAAAGCTTCATGTCCTTAACCAGAAAGAGGAACCTCATATACGCTGTTTCCTCGAGGATTCGGAAGATATGCAGTGAGGAAGTGATTGAAGAAGAACTGCGTTATCTCCGAAAAACCCTGATGGAAAACGGTTTCCCACCCAGGTTCATAGACAAGAATCCCAAAGCTGAGAAGACTTCCGAACAAGTTCGAAGGTGATATTGAAGAGGAAATCCTTCGTTAACTCCTCTCCGAAACTCCGAAGAAAACATACTTCGGAGCGAGCCTACGACTGACGTTTTCCTGCAAGAAACTGTTCAGCCAGAACGCGAAAGACAAGCTGTCACATTGGCCCACCTCAACGTGCATATACCAGTTTACTTGCTCTTGTGGAGCTGAGGACGTTGGCCGTACCATGCGCCAACTTGAAAAACGCGCTCGTGAACACTACCCAGCCTGGTTAGTAAAAGGAGACCAAAAGCGTGCATACAGTTCAGTGACAGAACATCTGATCAATTTAGGACATTCAGAGCCTTTCGAGAAATCCTTCAAAGTAATACAAAAGATTCAATCAAACCTATCAAAGGGAGGGAAATTAAGATATCTGGACATAGCCGAGGCACTAGCTATCCAAAAGCTCAAACCCACGCTTCGTATCCAAAAGAAATACATTTAACCCCTGTCCTTGCCATGGCCATCATAAACAGGTAATTCTTTTAGTAATGACCATCCCATCGTCTTTCTTATCTAAACTTCCTGTTTATTCATGTTATTTTAGGCTTTTCTTAATCCCTGTTTACACTACCATATTTTCATACCCGAACTTCGTGTTTATTTCGTCATTTTACTATTTCTACATATGTAATCCCTGATTGCATAAACAATTATTTATCACATTAGTTTTTTATCCAAACTTCCTGTCTATTTTGTTATTTCTACATTTCTAACCCCAATTGCACAATGTCAATCTTCTTAGTTATTATGATGCTACTTTGTTTTATCCATCCCCCGGTTCATTATGGCATTTTAATTCTAATTTTTATTAATTTGACCCTTAACCCGAAATTATTCTGGAACTTCCCTGCCCATTTGTTACAAATACACGAATGTACAGCCTAGATGATGACTTCGTCGAAAAAAAATTTTCTTCGCTGCAACTGTCTTCTTAATAATACGCAAGTAGTGCCTTTTAAAATATAATAAACAGTAAAAAAAAAAAGAAAAAACATGCGGATACACTAACAAGCCAACTATATTTTAACAGAAACAGGAGTCTTCCTCTTCAACTTTTTCGACTTTGTTTTTACAAGGCTAGTTTCTCCGGCTTTTCTTTTCCCAAGAATTGTATTAATTTCATCTGATGTTAATGGAAGATCTTCTTCAATTTCTTTAATAAGCTTTTTTGGTAAGCTTTTAAATGATTTTTTCGGCTTATCAGATTTAATGACAATAGGTAAATCTTGATGATTTTCTTCTCTTAATGTTTTAATAAGAGCACAAGACTTTCGATGTACAGATTTAGACAGATTTGATAACTTTTCACTTATAGCAGTTAAAGAAGCTTCTGTTTCATCGAAATACAAAGGAATGGAAAGATTTGGACTTTGGATATACATAGAACGAATATTTGCTAAACCACCACCTGGCCATTTTGTAAGGATTTTTTCACACTTAAAAGAAAAAAAAGAAGCGAAAATATATTGTTAAGAAGAACAAAATTTATTTCTAGACAATCTTTTATCATGAGGAAAAAACCCAACGAAAATGTCAAATTACAAGACAAGTGAAGTAGAGCAGTGCGAAAACACTCAAGTTCCTAAATATGAGGCATATATATATATATATATATATATATATATATATATATATATATATATGAAAGACTATCTATGCCCACTAAGGCGTAGGATTAAAGATTCTGGGTTATATCGGTCAAAATCGATAAATAAATAGCAGTGGTGCAATTTCGTCTATTGTTGCTATGCAGTATTTTTTCTTACGTTTCATATTTCCTCATATCTTTAAATACTCTGCAAATTTTGGTTACATTGTTTTCATCTCGTCACCTCCATTTTATCATCGTATGGCCTGAAGCGTAGATGAAGCGAAGCAGTTTGAATTAATTCGTTCATTTATCATGTATCTACTCTTTTTATATCTAAGTGGTTACTTTATTATGCTGGACGATAGGATGGTTTCTTTACAGCTAGACTTCTGAAGCATATTTGTTGCTTTCGGAAGCTGTGTGTGTGTCAGGTAAATCAGAAGAACAGAGGTAGAAGTGTTTGTCGTCAGAATATTTTTCACAAAGAAAACAAACTATTTTTAACGCTATTATCATTTGAATTATGTGAACTTTAGATGCGATTTCGCATAATACTCAAATGCATTTTTCAGGATTCAGCAAAATTTTCACTGTGATACTTTACTATATCATTATTATTATTATTCCTTTGGGTTCCGAGTGGAACATAGGGCTTCAACAACACATCTCCACTTTTTTCTATTTTCTGCCGTGCCCTTCAGCTGGACCCACGATCGCCCATAATCTCTCATCTCCTCCCCCTACACATACACACGATCTCCTCCATATCATTCTCGCACAAACAACCAACTCGTTACTTTCCACTAGGATTCCACTCGAGCAATAGCCTGTGTTTTGTGTGATATCATTCGACGGCCTCCTCAGTGGCGCATGCCTGATCCACATCCATTTTCTCCTACAGATTTGTTGAGCATTCGACTATTGATTGGTTTGTTCTCAGCCAGAGTTTCTTGCTGCTAATTCTTTCTGGCCGCTCGCCGACCATTTCATCTTCAGTATGGAGCCAGCCAGCCAGCGAAGCGGGCAGCTGTGGATGTTAGTCTTCAACAGGCTGTTGGAAATGATTTTCATGGAATGCACGCAGTGTAAGTTTCTCACCCGTATAGAAGAAATGAACAGAATCCGAATGTTGTTGTTTCTGCTGAGATGGGGTGCAGCAGCGCAGATTTCCAAACTGATTTCCGAGTGATGAAGGCGTATCTCGCCTTTCCGATTCTAGCTGACTTGCTTTGAAATCTCCAACCGTTCCGACTTCCTGCGGTTTAAATGATGCTTCCTAGATAAGTGAAGGAGGTAACCTCTGTCGAGCTGCCCCTGTTGATGGTGAATGGTGCTAGTTGTTGTTGGTTGGTTATTTTCATCACCTCCATCTTCTCTATGTTCCCCTGCAGTCCTGTATTCGCTGCCTGCCTTTTCCTAAATTTTTTCGTTTTCTCCTGGAAGTCTTCGAGTTTGTATGACATTAAACATAGATCATCCACACACGAAATCCAGATCTTCTATAGGGTTATTGTCGGTTGTCTAGCGTACTCCTATCTCCTCGCTCCCAACGCGCAGTCTGAGGCATAATATCAGTGACAATAGGCAGCCAACCTTGTTTTACTCCTGTATACTAGTCCGAACCCTGGGAGTCCCAAACTAGCGGGACGAGACAGCTATCCAACGGTTCTCTAACCGATGTCAGCTGCTCATGATGAAATCCTGTAACCAAACACTAGTAATGTTTGCCTTTTAGAAAGAAAATTCTTCTAACACATAAAATCAGCCAATTTTCTTTTAAAACCGATTATACTTCAATCTTTCAAAACAAATAATCAAAATACAATGCACCCAAAAGAAATACAAATGAACCCAACATTTCCTATTAATATTTCTATATTTGATACGATTACGAACAATAATTTGTGCTTAAAACGTCATCCAGTTAGTAATACTGTATTAGCACTGTGAAACATTTGAAATAAACTTATCGACAATGGAATTACATTTTACCACAGTGCCCAAGTTTTACACATCTAAGTCACGTTCGATTTCATTTTTTTTTCTTTCGGAAGAATTACCGATAAGGTATGTTATAATAACCAAGACCATTTATATTGTCTTACAGAGTCATTCAAAAGCTTATGAACAGTTGTCATTAGAGGTTGTTTTTTACAACTCAACCGGTTTTTCATGTAGCAGGCAGGCTATGAACCACATCCATGTTGTATGAGGGCTGATGAAAACGCCCAGTTGTCCGGGCACTGAAGGCACTGGTACTGGACTCAAATGAGGTGACCGAATAGTCGACAGTATAGCCACGTGACTTGAAGGTTCTGGTTCACACTGATACAAGTAGTATACAACTACATATCTCAGCCAATCAGTAGTATGTAGTTTTATGCAAATATGCTAACTTCCTTGATCACCACTTATGATATCAAGCAGATCACACATTATGGTCTGAATAATTTCGGTTTCCAAAGGGAAGTGTGTAGTGAAATTTCATCTTGATCTGTGTAAATTACAAAGTAATTTGTTCTGTGAGCTAAATCACACCGGATACATCGCTGATGCGCTCGGCGCCAAGCAAGCGAAACGGTTATCTGGTATTTAGACCACTTCGATCTGCCTAGCAAGCACATGACTTATTTCAATCAATCAGTAGTATATGATCGTATAAAGAAATGCTAGGGGAGTACAGTTGAGGAGCCCCAAGCTGAGACGAAACAGCCGCCCAGTACTTCTGACCTTAGAATTACTGACAACCATTGGTGTTAGCTAATCGGAAAATAGATAATTGATTCCGATTGTGTAGGTGATGTGTTTCTAATAAGTGATGGACAATTTCAGTAAACATTTCATCTCTATAAGATGTAAAATAATCTTATAGGACTAGTAAGCACCAATTTATGGTTTAAAAACATAACGTGGAGTTATCGAAAGTGTTGACTGCTTCATTTATTCGGTAAACCACATCAACTCAAAAGAGATTAGTGGTAAGATTTAAGTATTGGAGCTTATCAGTTAACACATGAACTGGTTCCAGAGAATCAAACAGCGAATTTAATAAGCAGCAATCACCGTCTTACTTTACAGTCTTAAAATATGATCACTAGAAGCAGAAATAAAAGCACCACTGTGGCACTTTTTTTGAAGCAAACCTGGACATTTTAAGCAATTTTTGAGATTAGAATTAGTGTTAGTTAACTTGCACAAATCAAATGATACGACAGTAAATGTCTCCTGAGTAAGGTGATTGGGGAATCTTAAGCATACTGAGCTACCATCGTCCATGTCGAATAATTCTCACTAATTTGAGATTAAATTTTGTAAAGAGTTAGAGATATTCGGGATAAAGCATGGTTTTAATCCATAAGTTAACTGAGTATCGGTTCAAACCATCTTCTAGATGCTTTCGAGTTATTAAGTTATCCAGTAGTTGGAGTTTCAATGACATGATTCATGCTGTACAGTGATGCAAATGTATTCACACTTTATCACCTCCTGAATACTGATCACTAATATTTACTATGAGCCCGAATAGCTCAGTGGTGACGTCTCTGACTGCAGCACTGGGTGACGCGGGTCCAAACCTCAGGAGGGACATGAGTTTCTGTGCGTCGGTGGCATAGCGGTTAGGACGCTCGCCGACCATGCACATGGCCCGGGGTTCGATCCCCAACTGACGCACTCCCTTACCTCTCTAAGCCAGAAATAATGCTAGTAAAGAGGAAAGGTTGGGCATGAGGCTAGCAACCCCATCCTGTAAAATAAACACTGCTATAGAAACTTGAAGCCAGTAGTTTGAGGCCCTATGTTCCACGGGGAACGTGAAGGAAAAAAATATTTACTATTATCCATCTCGTAGAGTTCCCATTTTAGTACCACTTAACCTCTCCTGTACAGTTACGAAATGTGATGACTCCAACTGGTGAACTTCTGTACAAGATTCAACGCTGATCTACTTGTTCATGGATATTTATTATTCCGTAGTAGTACACACACTTAGTAAAACACAAATACAGAGGAAAAAGATCACTTACAACTGAGATTACATTCTCCTTCAACTCAGACGATGAAAAGCTTACATCACCAATAATGAGACTGTCTGTCGTACCACGCCCTCGAATAACAAACAATGATGTGTGTATCTCCTTTTTAACAACATCTACAAGATTGTTGTTTGAAAATGACGTTGGGATGGGAAATTTTCCAGTGACTTCTTGATAGAATGCTTTACCTAGCTTATTTTGTAAGCGATGAACAATACGTCTGTCAGCAAGAAATATATCAAAACTTGCAGCCAACCGACGTTTGGCAGCAAAGGTTTGGTAAGCTATCTTCAGTTCACGCAATGGTAAGAATGTCACTGATGGTGTATCAGTATGAGACTGTTGAGACTTTTTTAAATCCATATTCCAACGCCGTTTCCATGATTCTGTACTTTTTTCATAATTATCTTTATGATTGTCTTTAACTATCAAACAGACTGATGTGTCTTTTGATCGATGAGGTAAGTTTACACGAATAAGTTTCGGTATAGGTAACTTGCTAACGATAACTAGATTTACGCTGTCAGGTAGTAAACTCAGAGTTTCAGCTTTTCCTGCAGATATCTTGAAAGTGTCGTCTGTGATGTTGTTTAGATTAGTTTTAATGATATCCATCTGAAAAAAACACAAAAGTCAACGATAAGTAATTGTACAAAATCAAACAGAAATTTTCAGTTAGTATTTCGAGGAGCTGTGACTTTGAAATTTGTCCACACCCTCGATTTTATACAGTGGAATTACGCTCAGTTGTTTTAGTTTCTTATGGATTAAAACAACCGGTTGATGAAGCGATAGGTACTATGTATAAATCCTAGTAAAACGATATATATATATTAGTTTTCTTCATTAGTCTTCTGGTTTTCTGTTTTGACTTTGAAATCAAATGAATCCCCAATAATATGTTCAATGTGTTTTCAGAGAGGTTTCAGTAAAGCAGATAAGTAATTGGAGAAGTTGATGAGTTTGTTATCGCCACCATTGGTCTCGTGTTGCGTTTCGGATATGCATACAAGACCCAAGTGTAGTTATTCACCTAGCCCCACCTGGTCAACGGGGCGAATCCGCAAAATTCACCTTACGGGTGTGAGGATATTTTTTGGTCAGTTCGCGAGGACTAGCAGGTGTAGAGATATCACTGAGTGCTACAACGAAAATTCCCTACTTGACTGAAATCCAGTAGATACTCGTGTGTTGTGCATCTGAGCGGATTCGTTAGGAAGGATTGCGTTGTCTGTCGATGTCCTCATATAATCTCTTCTTACGCCCCGACAGACTGCAGTTCTGATGAATTTTAAGGATGAGTTTTACCAAAAATTATCCAGTTCTCTGAGAAGAGCAGAACGCTCAGATATAGTTGTTTTAGCAGAAGACTTAAATGCCTAAGTAAGGAAGTTATGCCAGACTGAGAAGTATATAGGTGGTACGAACGGAATTCCCTGCCGAAGAACCGACAATGGTGATCGTCTTCTACAGTTCCACCCAGATAATCATGTTCCTACTCAGCACTAACTTTAGACATAAGGAGAATTTGCCCAAACTGGCGACCTCCATCATTAAGTCACCGATGGACTCAAATAGACCACATAGCGATAAGCTGTCGCTGGCGAAGGTCGAAAGAAGACTGCTAATTTTTCTGGAACACGTGAGTAGACTCCGATCATGTTCTGGTTAGTGCACGCTTATTCTTAGGACTCAACGAAAATAAACAATCAGCAATAAAGCCGTTACCCACTCATCCCCAAACTTCATTAAGTCGCTCAGTCCCTATTTAAGGGAAAAATACTTAGACGCGTATCTGAGATCGACAGTAATACTCCTTCTGAGGAAGCCTGGCACAATATCCAACCAGCTGTAGGTACACCTGTAAAAGTTGTTAATAACCTAAAACCGAGAGTTACTAAGAGCCGGTGGATTTCTGATGTCTATCTATCTGTTTTCGACATAGAACTTTGCACTGATGTGCAGCAGTTCAAGTCGTCACGCTCCATGTAGCACACAAAGTAAGAGAAGAAAGTAGAAGAAATGCATAATAGAGACAGTAAACAGAGGTGTGGGACAAAGAAATAGTAATAACGAAGAACAATATTTTCATTGGAAATTATAAGGCACAAGAAGTGGATGCATCTGTGCCATCACCGAGAGCGATTTTGAGCCATACCATCAAATGTCACCAGTCGTTGGTTTTTATCGTCTCGAGGACCCCAACCAGTCAGGAAGTCTACACCTTCCTACATGGCCTAAACTAAATGTTGTGGATTTCATTGACTGACGAAGCCATGTTTTGGTTTTTCCACCGCTAGCTCTTTTCCAACCTGACCCTATGTCAGATAACACAGCCCGTCGAAGAAGGCGATGACTAGGCAAACTTAACACCTGTCCCAACCATCTCTCTCACTCAATGTAATTTCACAGCCTCGTCGATCGATTTCTGTTACTTCATCTGAAATGTCAGACGCAAGAAGATTGATTCCAGAGGGGTTGAAATATGATGAAGAGAGAAAGCTGCTCAAATGCAAACGGGCAAAAAGCCCTTGTAACAGCGATGTGCAACGTCACCGACACAAAGGAAGACAGACCAAACTACCAGGCAGTGCATATGTATTTTGACTGGTAAATGGAGCCATAAATAACGCTATTTAGGAAGCCCCTAATAAGCATCTTTTACGTACCGAAATTCCCCTAGAAGGTTTACTCGAACTTCTCCAATAAATGAAATAATTTAGTCATTTCATTTCCTAGCCTTAAACCACGAGGCAGTGCAAACTATCCCTGTATCATCGCCTTACATTTCCAAAACCAGTGTTCAAATATTCAACTATGCTCAAGATGTTACGAATACTCTAAATTTTGCTCGTGTACCTCTAAGATAACTAGAATTCCTCTAAGGGCAATAGACAAGTAGTTTTCGTATACTCCTAAGGATTAAGACTCATTTTTAGTCAACCGTAAACATAACTAGCATAATAAATGCTACCGAAACTCACTCGACTATTTAAAAACATCAATTAATGGGTTGTTTTCAAAGGTTTCTAGATGCAAGCAGTATAAACAATAAGTTATAAAAGAATCTTATATGTGCTTATCAATTTATGTAAAATAACGCACAAGTTTAACATTGCACACGTAAATCGCAGGAAAAGTCAATGGTGTCTTGGAATATAAGAAAAAGATGAAACGACCTGATTGTGGAATTACGGTCACTATTTACGTTTCAAAACCTCGCCAGATACTAGCTTGCTAGGCTACTAGCTTACTAGTTTTCTCGCCGGTCCCAAGCCCAGGTAAAGAGGGAGGGTTGGGGCGTGGTGAAATGAGGTAGCCTGGTGAAAGCCTTCGGGAAGCCAGTCAGCCGATGTGCCTTCTTTCGATGAAAGCAAAAGTAAGGATGGGTACCTGGAATGTTCGTACAATGTACGAAACTGGAAAGGCTGCCCAGATAGCCGCTGAAATGAGAAGGTACAGAATAGAAGTGTTGGGAATCTGCGAGAGCAGATGGAACGGAACTGGAAGGTGCCAACTACCTACTGGAGAGACAGTAATCTATTCCGGCCACCTAGAGGACAACCATGAGCACACCGAGGGAGTGGCCATCATGATGTCACCAACAGCAACCAAAGCTCTCATGCAGTGGGAACCAATCTCCTCCAGGATAATGACAGCCAGGTTCAACTCAAAAGGAAGGAAAGTTACAGTCATTCAATGTTATGCGCCTACAAACGTCTCAGAACAAGAGAAGAAGGAGGCGTTCTACAGACAACTACAAGCAATAATGGACAACGTCCCAAATGGCGATATCAAAATCCTGATGGGCGACATGAATGCGAAGCTGGGACGAGACAACACAGGAAGAGAACTCACCATGGGTCGTGAGGCCCTCGGTGAAATGAACGACAATGGTGAACTCTTCTCAGACTTCTGCGCCTTCAATGATTTGGTGATTGGCGGTAGTGTGTTCAAACACAAGGATATACACAAGACGACATGGATTTCACCAGATGGAAACACCAAGAATCAAATAGACTTCATCTCAATTTCAAGAAAGTGGAGACGGAGCCTACTGGACACAAGGTCAAGGAGAGGAGCAGATGTGGGTTCAGACCACTATCTAGTAGAAGGGACTTTCAAGGTGAAACTAAAAGCCTCGAGGATAGCTGGGGATAGGCCACAATGCAAGTTCAACACTCAATTACTGAAGGACACAACCACAAAAGACACCTTCACTGCAACTGTCAGAGCAAAGCAGGAAACACTACGCGACAGCACTGAAGAATCATGCGTGGAAGAACATTGGAAGTCTCTGAAGGCGATTCTCAACGAAACGTGTTCAACGGTTCTAGGAAGAAAGAAGAGACAAGACAAGGAATGGCTCTCAACGGACACTTGGAAATTAATAGAAGAGAGGAGAATGGTGAAAGAGAAAATGATTCAATGCAAGGACGGACAGGAGAAGGAGACGATGAGCTCAACTTACAAAGCATTGGACAAAGAAGTGAAGAAAAGTGCTAGGAAGGACAAAAGACGATTCTACGACAATCTAGCTACTGAAGCTGAAAAGGCAGCAGGCAAAAGGGACCTGAGGACACTATATCAGATAACCAAATCTCTATCCGGGAAGAGACCAACACAAGCGAAACCTATAAAAGACAGCCAAGGGAAGCCCATTACCAAGGAAGAAAAACAGATTAAACAATGGGCGGATCACTTCAAAGGACTCTTGAACCGACCATCACCTGCAACCCGTCCAGAAATACCAACAACAGCGCGCACACAACTGCAAGTTGACACCAATCCTCCAACGAGAGCTGAAGTCTTGAACGCAATCAAACTTCTGAAAGCTGGAAAAACAGCCGGACCAGATGGAATACCCCCTGAAGCACTGAAAGCAGACCCAGAGACGACAGCAGACATGCTGACTCCATTATTGCAAAAGGTCTGGAAGGAGGGAAAGGTGCCTACTGACTGGAGGAAAGGTTACCTCGTGAAACTACCAAAGAAGGGCGACTTACGCCTCACTCTGCAAGAACTGGCGAGGAATCATGCTCCTATCGACGCCAAGTAAAATCCTGAGTCGCATCATCCTGGAGAGATTAAAGGACGCACTGGAGACAGAACTCCGACCAGAACAAGCTGGATTCAGGAAAGGCAAATCATGTACTGACCAAATTGCAACTCTACGCATCATCATCGAACAAAGCATGGAATGGCAATCAAACCTCTACCTCAACTTTATAGACTTTGAGAAGGCCTTCGACAGCGTTGACCGTGAAGTAATTTGGAAATTACTCGAGTACTATGGCGTACCCCAAATATTCATCAACCTTATTCAACAGCTGTACGACAACGGCACCTGCCAAGTGATCCACAACGGAAAACTCAGCGAGGCGTTTGGAGTAAACACAGGAGTCAGACAAGGGTGCTTATTATCACCAATGATATTCCTAATTGTGGTGGACTGGATTATGCGTCAGACAGTGGGAAACGAGAAGACAGGAATATCCTGGACCGACGTGAAGAACCTAGAAGACCTGGATTTTGCGCGTGGATGATTTATGTTTGATGTCACACAAAATCGAAGACTTACAAGCGAAAACCGACAAACTGGTCGAAGAAGCAGCCGGCGAAGACAGGACTCCAGGTGAACATAGACAAGACGGAGGTTATGAAAATAACCAACCAACAACAGCAACAACATCCAACGTCAATCACCATCAACGGGAGGGATTTGAAAGAGGTTACTTCATTCACTTTATCTAGGGAGCATTGTCTCAACTACAGGAGTCGGAACGGACGAGGATGTCAAATCGAGAATCGGGAAGGCGAGAAACACATTCATCAACCTGAAATCAATCTGGAAATCTTCGTCACTCAGCATCAACAACAAAATTCGGATTTTCAATACAAACGTGTCAAGTCAGTCAGTTCTTCTATACGGATCAGAAACTTGGCGGGTCACAAAGAATATTTCCAAAAGGCTGCAGACCTTTATTAACAACTGTCTTCGCTCAATACTGAAGATCAGATGGCCGGAAAGAATCACCAACAAGGAATTATGGGAACAAACAAAGCAAGAACCAATCGCCCAACAAATATGCAGGAGAAAGTGGAGATGGATCGGACACTCGCTGAGGAGACCGCTGGGTGACATCGCGCACCAAGCCCTCGAGTGGAACCCGAAAGGGAAGCGGCGTGTGGGACGTCCAAGGGTGACATGGAGGAGATCGTGTGAAGAGGAGTTGAAAGAATATGGATTAACATGGATGCAGGCGAAAAGTATAGCAGAAGACAGAAGAAAATGGAGACGTGCAGTTGAAGCCCTATGTTCCACTAGGAACCCAAGGGAGCAATAATAATAATATTTACGTTTCAAACATTTATCTGAATTGTTTCATTAGTCGTTAACTAGAGTACTAGGAAGCGTCTGGGATTCAGAGGAAGTCTCGTCAGGTTGGTGTAAGTCATTGATTATCCCCATATACAAGAAGGGAGACAAGTCTTCCTGTGATAATCACAGAGGGATTAGCTTGACTAATATAGTATCTAAAGTCCTAGGCTCAATAATCATTCGTAGACTGAGTGGTGCTCGCGAGGCACGAACACGAGAGAGCCAGGCAGGCTTTAGACCAGGAAGAGGGTGTATTGATCATATCTTCACCCTTCGACAGATTCGAGAACATAGGGATTCTTACCGGCGTCCAACAGTCGTTATATTTCTTGACCTAAAGGCGGAATTCGACTCTGTCGGCCGAGAGGTTTTCTGGTGATGCTTGGCTGTGAAAGGAATTCCGAGAAAATGCACTCCACTGATTAAGGCACTCTACTCGAACTCATGCAGCCAGGTGAGGGCTTACAGCGAGTTGTCATCTGAAGTGGTGACGACTAGTGGTGTCCGTCAAGGATGCCCATTCTCCCCATTTCTATTCAACTTCATCATAGATGTACTAATGGACTTAACCCTAAGTGACTTCAGCGACTCAGGGATTGACTTTCTACCAGGGAATAATCTCGTTGACTTAGAATATGTAGACGATATAGTCCTCCCAGGCGACGACTCTGACAAAATGCAGAGTCTTCTAAACACCTTGAGCTGCAATCTACGAATGTTTGGCATGCGATTCGCTCCCGCCAAATGCAAGATGATGTTACAGGATTGGAGTACATTGACTCCTAGTTTAAAAATAGGGAGTAAAGTGGTAGAGCACGTTGACCGAATCACTTATTTTGGGAAGTACCATCAGCCCAAACGAGGTGATCTCTGACAAAATCTTACTACGGATACAGAAGGCTAGTTCTGCATATGCCAGTTAACGCCGTCTCTGGCGTAGACATGGCATTCGGCTATCGACCAAAGGACGTGTTAACTGCTCAGCAGTCCGCTCCGTCCTCCTTTATGGCTGTGACACCTGAGAGTTGAAGATATGAAAATACTAGCTGTCTTCGATCATAGGTGCCTGCGCTCTATCTCCCGTGTGAAGTGGTAAAATAAGTAGAGCTATATTGAGGTTAGGCATCGGTCGAGTGCTAGGTAGATAGGAGGGGAAAATCAATCGACGAGGCTGTGAAATTACATTGAGTGAGAGAGATGGTTGGGACAGGTGTTAAGTTTGCCTAGTCATCGCCTTCTTCGACGGGCTGTGTTATCTGACATAGGGTCAGGTTGGAAAAGAGCTAGCGGTGGAAAAACCAAAACATGGCTTCGTCAGTCAATGAAATCCACAACATTTAGTTTAGGCCATGTAGGAAGGTGTAGACTTCCTGACTGGTTGGGGTCCTCGAGACGATAAAAACCAACGACTGGTGACATTTGATGGTATGGCTCAAAATCGCTCTCGGTGATGGCACAGATGCATCCACTTCTTGTGCCTTATAATTTCCAATGAAAATATTGTTCTTCGTTATTACTATTTCTTTGTCCCACACCTCTGTTTACTGTCTCTATTATGCATTTCTTCTACTTTCTTCTCTTACTTTGTGTGCTACATGGAGCGTGACGACTTGAACTGCTGCACATCAGTGCAAAGTTCTATGTCGAAAACAGACAGACACGCACGGTCTTCAGCCTAACTTCTTTTCTTCCTGTCCTACCGTAGGCAGAAAGATTCAATCACAATGTTTAAAATTTTAAATAATGACTACGTATCTCACCTACTGTCCTTTTCCCCTCCCACCAGGTCGTAACACATGAGAGAACATAGCAGGAGAGTTCAAAAACCAAGAAATCATATTCCTGTGAAGTACTGTTTCTCACACTGCAATGCGCCCGAAAAAAATGCTAGCTGGGTGAAATCTTAACAGATGAGATTACCCCATAAAGCTCTTTGCGGTGCTAAAGAATGGCGTATAGCGCAGCAATCATACTATTTGGCGATTAACAAATGCTTGAAATAGGAAACGACTGCTTAAACAAATGCCATGGCATCCACTGCAGTGGATGTAACTTATGCAAATAATAAATAGCACCGAATACAATTTTGATATAGTATCAAATACAAATCCCTTACTCTATAATCTCGTTGGTAAATGCTGAATAACAATACACAGAAGGCAATTTACATCGCTAAAATACCAAAATTACCTCACGTGTCAAACAAAATAGTGTAACGCCAGTGAGGAGTCTCGCGGTATCCATGACCCTTAATTCAGTGACGAAGGTAGTGATATACCCTCCAATATCCAATATCGTTTTCTTGAGCTAGTATGAACTGGTTTGATTTCTTTGTGCTCTTTTCTTGATCGTGAGTTAGTGGTTCCTAGTCTTCAGTAAACTTCTGCGTAGTTCGTCACGCCACTCGACTGTCATAGCTTTGATTGCCCCCCAAAGGAGTTGTGCTGGGACTAATTATATGTTATTTGTAGTATGCTGTGTGTTAAGACTATGCTTCTGCTGTGAATGGAGTTGATCCTTTCACAGGTTAGTCCTTCAGTGTCGTCGAAAAAAAGAAAGAGATAATAATAACAAATATAATCAGAGTAGGTTATGCTGCCTAAAAAACAGATTAAGAAAGAGAGAAAACGTACAATGTGACGACTGATCAGCTTTCAAGCTGAGATGCATCTATACACATATATATATAATATTAATAAAAAGTGTAATTGTAGTAGTTGGAGAAGTAAGGAGAGTAGGACAAGAGAGAATATGAAGTAAAATGATGAGTTTAGATGTCCACCCATTAAAAGCGTATAAGACTTTAAGGGAATAAGCCGTTTGGAAGCAGTCCTTGTGTCGCTGTATGACTGTCCTGTTTTCATTTAAAGCTGTCCATAGACGAGGCCGTAGCTACATCTGCCAACAAGGAGTTCCAGGAACAGCAAACCGGCATGGGAAAGAAGTGGGAGTGCATTCGAGTCTCTATCCTCTGGTGAGCTATACTTCTGGGATTTGAACGAGGAAGCCCATATCTTCTCAATGGCGAAACACCTCTGTTTGTATGATTCGAGTGTTTTGTTACCTTAGAGGCAGTAATCAAGTCCCTTCAAGCCGGCAGTATTAAACAGTGAAGAGACCCAATTCATTTCGCCTTTCATCATACGGTTCGTTTCGAAGAATCATCACTCCTGTTATCGTTCGTCCTCCGACAATTTCCAAAAGGTTCGCGTCGCTTCCAAGCAGCTGGGAAGCAATGATGTTATGCACCTCAAGGTATAGTTTAAGAATGTTTTGCACAACCTTAGAAGGAGCTCAAGGGTGAGTGCACCTAACCGTCTGTACATAAAGTGTATGACCGTAAATTCCCTCGCTACATCCTCTGTGTAATGCAATCTTGTGTCCACCTTTTCTGCAAGGTCTAAACCTAATTCATGCTCCGACATTGCACAGTACAAGTGTCAATGGAGTTGAAGATTGAACGATCAATTCACGGTTGTTTGCTCAAAACCAACTTCCCCAATTTTCGCGGAGGCATCAATACGACAGTCATCGTCTCATCGGTCGCTGTTCAGAAGGAAGTCAGTAGCAAACCATCAGAAGTAATATTGTGATTTATTATTGTAATATTTGTTCACAGACCTTAGTGGAAATATTTTTTATATGTTGGTGTAACAATAAAGAATCCTCGAGTCAACAACTGGTGTTTTGGTTTTTTCGTCCGTTATTACTAAGCGTTTCTGAGAAACTTCAAGCGACAGCGTTAGCCCGAGCGTAGCAAGAGCTGGGCATTAACGGTTTACGAGACGTGGCTGACAGTTTCTGATGGTAGAAACAGATCTGACGGATTCAGACAGTTGGTGAAAGTTTGGATAGTCGCCGTTCATCTTTCCTGGTGCCGGTCAAGTCCTCTTTGAACAAGCAATATCTGGAACATTTTTGGAATTTGGTCAAGTTCAACAATGCCTGGGCCAAAGAAGGGACAGAGTGTCTTGGATGCAAACAGGAAAGTAAGTCATGGTGACTTGTCTGTTAATTGTAACGATGTGTCTGATGTTAAGCATGACATGGTTGATGTTACTGTTTCGCCGTTCAGGGATAATAGGAACATCAAACTCCCTAAATTTGAACCACGGTGTTTTGATGGAAACCCGGCTGATTATTTACAATTTGTAAAGGAGTTTGAGATCATGCTGAGTAGTTTTCTATCAAGTGATGAATTGAAATTGATGTATTTGATGAGGTATTGCACTGGAGATGCTTCAAGAGCTATACAGTGCTGTAAGCTCATGCCCCCTAATGAGGGATACGCTGAGGCTATGAGCATATTACGTCAAAGGTATGGAAGACCTTCAATGATTGCAGGGAAATTATTCGAGGCTGTTAAGGGTAATGGTGGTCAATTACAGGATGACTCCCAGGAACTCACTGAGTTTTTAGATAATTTGCTAATTTACAAGAATACCTTGATTTCGATGAATTGCATGAATGACCTCAACTCGAGTTTTATACTAGAAGTAATAGCAAGACACCTACCTACTCGACTGCAAAGGAAGTGGGTGAAGATAAGCTCCCGTATGGAGGATGAGGGTATCGAGCCAAAGTTTGATGATATCCTGAAACTGGTAAAAGATAGCGTCAATCTATCTATGAGCAAGTTCGCCAGTCTATTACATCTCACCCCTAGAATAGAGCAGTCTGAGAGCAAAATGCAATCATTGATGACGAGTAGGCCTCAGAGAGGTGGATATCGAGAAGGCTCCATGATGTCTAGTAATGCATATAGACCTAGTGAGTGTAACAGGTTTCGTAGTACATCCTCAACAGATAAGTTACAAGATGCAAGACAAACACGGTTGTGTTTTACACGTTTTCAAGAGGTGCATACAGAAGTGAACTGTGAACCAGTGAGCAAGTTCAGTGATAAGCTAAATGTAAACTCCAGGCCTGACTCCGAATTGTGTGACGATAACGGTGCGGTGAAGAAGTCTGTAGCTACAACTGGAAAGCCATTGTTGAATAGAGTGTCACAGAATAGAGTTATTGCTTCAGAGTGCAGTTCTGACTCCACAAGTTTACAAGGTATTACTAGTCAGAGTGAAGGTATAAAACCTTTTAGGATTTGCGAGGAGGAACCAAAATTGTCTACTTCTGTTATTAAAGAGTTTGAAAATGATGAACTTGACGGTAAATTGAATATTCGTGATAATGATCATGATAGTGCAGATTTGTCTTTGGTTGATCATGATGAGATGAGGGATATGCCTACTACTGCTAAGTTAATTAAAGGTTCTGTACAACTAAAACGTGAAGTAGAATTAAATGCAGTTGCAGAAGGCATGCATACTTGTCAAACCGTCAGTGTAATTGATCAGAGTGAAGCCCACCTATCATCAGATGCTAGTACTAAAGCGGAGCTGATAGTAAAAGACAGCAGTGGTGGTGGTCTTGCAGGTAGACAGCTTTCTGAAAGTCGAGCAACAACAGCTTCTGATCCACCGCTAAGTTCATCAACTTGTGTCACTCAGTCGTCGTTGGTGTTGTCATCCACAATGGAAAAGACGCCCATCAACTGAAGTATCTTGTGCAATGACTATGGTAGCATCAGTTCGTTTGAAAGGACGAATATCAATGGTCAGTTTAGTGAGGATAAGCCAAGTGTAAACGAAAGAGTAATTGTTAAATTGACTTGCACGAATAAAGGCATTTCTAGTTTCAAGTTACTATTTGAATGTTATTATCTTTGGTGTAAATTACTCTGTTTCTACAGTCGGTTGATAAGATATGTCGTGTGTTTGTTCGTCATCTATATTCTACGATACAATGACATGGGCGTGTTTCCGTTCAGATTTGAGGATATAGACGATAGAAGGAAATCAGCAAATGGACTCTGCAACGATTTTCCAACCTAGGGCGTCAACCTGAGAAGGGTTGTAGGCGTACTGCTGTAAGTCCTACAATTCTTCAAAGGGTAGCGCATCAATGAGCAGTCCATTGTGCTTGGTGTGTGATTTTGTACATATGTTCATATGGTATATACTGAATTGATATCATCTGTCATCTAGCTGTTGCTAATTCTGTTTGTGTCCGGACGACTTCCACTTGGATCATCGACCTGAGAAGGAATGTAGGCGTACTGCTGTAAGTCCTACAGTTCTTTAAGGGTAGTTTGTCGTGCCAGAATCCACAACATTTGATGTAGTGATTGTACATATGTTTGTGTTAAATAGTTGTGTGAGTTCCAATTATCGTAATTGTTGAATAATCTTGTTTGTGTCCGGACATTCCACAACTTACAATGGTCAACCTGTGAAGGGTTGTAGGCGTACTGGTGTAAGTCCTGCAATTCTCCAAAGGAATTCCACCAAGACATGATCGGCGACGTTGTTTGTACAATTTGTATATACGTGTGGTGTGTCATATCAATTGGTGGTGTTTTGGATTCATTGTGTTTACTTGTTGTTTTCGTACCTTGTTTTTATTGCACAATTTTGTTAAAATTTTCGTCGTGATTACTTCTGAAGTTGTTTCGAGTCTTCTACATCCATGAATGAATTGATTGATGTTAAGGACAGCAGATGGGTCGTATACGCCATGGAGGCTAGGCTATTGCTGAGAATGAAATGCACACGGAGATAATTGTGAGCTGCGGTCCGACACGCCGGGGAGAAAGAGTGTAAACGGCTGAGGCTCGCATACGTCACCGTTACTAGAATTGAGGCAGAATGAGTGACAAGCGATTTCAGTGGTAATTGGTAGTGAGTAGATAAGAGGATGAGCGTAGAGTATCGTGAGGTGCTGCTATGGTCACTTTGCGTTCTGCAAGAGTCATTCTAGCAAGTGGCGATTGTGTTGCAAGATGTCAAGAGGACGCCTTTAACTGGAGGCGCAGGTCGTCATTGATGTGTGAGATTGTGCTGTGAGTATGCTTGTGGTGTGTTGGCTTTTCTGTTTGTTTTCCATTTCAGCTCTGTCCGTGTGATCCAGGTTCTCGCAATGGCATCCAAGTCAACGTGTATTGGTCGTGAAGGAAAAAAGGGTTGGATCCCTTTTTTGCCGGGGAGTGTCAATGTAGTTGAAGATTGAACGATCAATTCATGGTTGTTTGCTCAAAACCAACTTCCCCAATTTTCGCGGAGGCATCAATACGACAGTCATCGTCTCATCGGTCGCTGTTCAGAAAGAAGTCAGTAGCAAACCATCAGAAGTAATATTGTGATTTATTATTGTAATATTTGTTCACAGACCTTAGTGGAAATATTTTTTATATGTTGGTGTT